GACTGTACTTCTGTAGTTGCTTTTGTTTCTTTCCTGAATCTTTCTGAGTTGAGATGGGCTCTCTGATTCTGAGTCCGAGTACGCATATAGCTTTTTCTAAAATATGGGACGATCCCGTATTTTAAAGGAGCAGTGTGTAAAAATTTGACCAAAAGTGGTACTGCACTCTCCCTGTCTGAGGTTGCCAGATATGCAGACGAATCCAGCTGGGACCAAAATATCTAAATAAAGAGTTTTGTCAACAGCCAATGAGTTCTGGCGCCCGGATCACAGACTTTCTGATTGGTGAAACGGTGGAGGGCGGGACATCGAAATTAAAACAATAACAAGATTTAGGGCCTGTAAAAGTAATTGTGAAATCCAAGTATCTCTGCTGAACTGTTATCAGTTAAAGAAGTATTTCAAAGGAGTATGTTTTGTTAATACCTTCAGACAGATTAGGGCCATTTAATGATGACTTGACATGAAAATCTTACATATTGCTACTTTAAAGGACAGTTGGCAACCCTAACCTGAATCCTTTAATGCACCATTAAAGTTGTGTCTACACATTCATAAAACCTTTTTTTCATAAAACCTTAAGGAGCGGAAAACAACTAAATGTATACAAATCAAATGACTTACTTCTAATAACCAAGACAAACGACATTAGACAGTCTGCCTCTGAGAGATCAGTCAATGCATTAGAAACTAGAACACACTAATCAAATGTCAAAAGTCTCTGTAAATGTATGATAAATTCATCAGGAGGCCGATAAGAATCTGGCTTCAGAGAAAGACGGTTCATGTGAATTGTAAACCACATTGATGTGGTTTTGCTGTTGTGTAGACATCCGTTTATGATAGACATCACAAGATAAGCTTTATTTATCTCACATAGGAGAAATTTACATGTCACAAACAGAAGAGTACAGCAGCAAAAATTGAGAATGCATGTAAGATAAATTGTATTCATGTTTATTTATTATTTAGGGACAAGTGTACACAGTCAACATGTGAAACACTACAACATTTATAGCCAAGGTGTCACGTGGTGGAAATGCAGGAAGGACCCAAAATGCAGGAATGCCAAAAATTATTTAATGATAATAAAAATAAAATTCCAGGTAAAACTCAAAATCCAAAGGCTCAAAAAGAATCAAGGAAACAGGAACAGACAAAGACAAGACGTTGACAATACAATGGACTAGCAACAAGAGGAGAAAAGCACAGGGTACATATAGACACACAGAGACACAGGTGAAACACATCAGGGCGGGGCAGACAATCAAGACAGGGGCAAACAGGACAGGAAGTACAACTAAAACCAAACCACAGAGAACAATGTCAAAATAAAACAAAAATACAAAAATAAAACCCACACCATGACACAAGGCTAGTTTGCAATGTCTGTCCCTAGGAGGCTTTTAACACAATTAAAACACATTATAAAATTCACATTATACAAAAGCAGATGTTCTCCAACTCATTGATGCTCACACAACTGGTTTGTTTTAAAAAATCGCTTGAGTTTGTGTTTAAAACCAGCCCAGTCAGAGTTCAGTTTTAGCTGAGGGCTTAAAGAGTTCCAGAGCTTTGACCCCTGGACCGAGAAGACCGACTGTCCGAATGTGGTCCTCCTGAGGAGCACTTTTACATTCGTTAGAGGAGCCCCGTGTGACGGATCTCAGAGGAACTAACTCTGTTTAATCTGAAACTATACAAACTTGATTTAGTCCTTTTTACAATCTTGTTATTGTGAGGGGTTAAGAACCTCACATGGAAATCACAAACATTTTTAAAAATCCATGTAACACATTTCTCAGTGTCAAAACTGTATCACTTGTTTTTACTGATGTGTTTTTGACCTCTGTCACAGAGAGTACCAACCCTCACTCAGATCTCAGTATATAAAAGATACAATGTTTTTTTCCAATAAGATTATGAAAGCATGTTGTGGTCTGATTTGTTAGAATATTTTTACTTGAAGGTACAGCTACCTCTCAGAAAGTGCTAAGGAATTGAGTGACCCTGCACTTTGTTCCAGGGTCACGGAAAGTTCTATCATTTGTTATACACAACGTTAAATAGTTCTTCTTCCACAAAAATGAAAAGTTGTGAATTTTGTAGGCAAAAAAGGCCTCTGTTAGCATAATGGCCCTAGGTTGCCATACTTGCATGTGAATGCCAGATTCCATCAGACCTCTGAGGCTGTGCGGGGCAGGGCCTGGTTAGTACTGTGATGAGAGACCTCTGGGAACACCATGTGCCACAGTGGGGCGGCTGCGGCTGTGAAGCTGTACTGTGTCCTTAGGCATGTGCCTAGAATGTGAATGGCTGATGGTTGTCAGAGAGGCCAATGGCATACACCCATTGTGTCACATCTGTCAGTATGCCAGAGGGCAGAGGTAGCTACAGTGGTAGAATTATCATCTCTGAGTATGGAATGAATGGTATGTGGATCATCTTTGAGTATCCAAAAAATTGCTATTTGAAATTGATACATCATTATTATTTATCTTAGAATGTAAAAGGGCCAGACACTTCAAATAAATGCTAAAGACAATTGTAGAATTGTCGAAAAAAGGAATAATAATCCAGTTGCCATCACTTGTGAAAAGCCAGACCCCGTCCCCGGATGGCAGTCAGAGTTGCACCCAGGACACAGAGCACCAGCCCCTCACTGATCCTCCTGCAGGTGGTGAGTCCACAGGAGCTGAGATCTTTCAGCGGGGGCTTCAGGCAAAGTGGAGTTAAGTGTCTTGCCCAAGGACACAACGACAGCAGTCATCAGTGGGAGTTGTGAAGTAGGTCTCATGGTGGGCTCGAACCCACGACCTTCAGGCACAAAGGCCAATGCTCTACCAACTGAACCACTGTCACGGGGGTTAATGAGGGATAAGTTCTGGACAGAGGCCAGGAGGGATTCGGGGCAGATGATGAGTTCTTTTTTGTTGCTGTTGAGTTAAAGAAAGTTATTGTCCATCCAGGTTTTAATATCGAAGATGCAATTAGTGATGGTGGAGAGGAGACCGCGGTGATGGATGTGGTGGCGATATAGAGTTGAGTATCGTCGGTTTAACAGTGAAAGTGGAGTCCATGGTGGTGGAGGATCTGGCCGAGGGGAAGCATGTAGATGGTGAAGAGGAGAGGGCCGAGCACGGACCCTTGGGGGACACCGTGGGTGATGGGGGAAGTGTGGGAGTTGCAGTTGTTGACAGAGACAAAGTGGTGACGGTTAGAGAGGTAGGAGGTGAACCAGAGGAGTAATGTGCCGGAAATGCCCTTTGATTGCAGACGGTGGAGACAAATGGAATGGTCTAGACTCTATAGTGTCAAAGGCAGCGAAGAGGTCGATGAGGAGGTCATTTGTTACTTTAAGAAGTGCTGTTTCTGTGCTGTTGTGTGAACAGAATGCAGATTGAAATGTTTCAAAGAAATGGGAGGAGTGGAGATGTTGGTGGATTTGAGTGATGACGACGCATACCAGGATTTTTGACAGTAACGGGAGATTGGGGATGGGTAGGGAAGTTGTCCAGGTTGTCAGGGTTAAGGCCGGATTGTTTTGTGGAGGGGTGTGATGGAAGCTAGTTTGAGTGGAGAAGGGACAGATCCAGAGGTTAGTTCAGTGTTGCTGAATGATGCTGGTGATGAGAGGGATGAGAGTTGGTTGACGGGTTTTGAGGAGGGCTGATGGGATCGGGTCAAGCTGGAAGTTAGAAGATCTCATGGTTGAGAGAAATTTGGTGGCTATGGACTGTGGCTATGCAGTGATTTCATGTTCAGAGGGAGGAGAAGTGATCAATGTATGGTATGGATTTTTATATGGTAGAATGATAGGACGTTATTGCATTTGCCTGCAGTGAAAGTGGAGGTAATATTGTTCTTGGATTTTGTCAGATTTGCCAATGCATATTTTTTATGGAGCCGCTCGAGTGGTCTATTTTGTTTTTTGGAAATTGTGGAGATCTGGAGTGTACCAAGGGGCAGAGGCCGAGAAGAAGACTGAGGCAGTTACCATGGGGGGTATTTGGTTAAGGCCGTAGGAGAATGTGTGGATGTAGAAATTGACTAGATCAGAGCCAGAGTGATCTGAGGGAAAGGGGGAGCTGGGTAAGGCATGGGGTATGGAGGAGGAGATAGAGATGGGACTGATAGACTTAAGATTTTGGAATGCAATTGCTCGTGTCTGTTTGGTGGTGGGAGAGAGTGTAATGGCCAGGTTATCAGAAATGTTCAGGTCGGTGAGTGACAGGTTGTGTGTGGTGAAAGTCCCCATGAACTTAATGTAAACTAAAACAGCTCGGCCTCAGCTGACAGAGAACCTAAAGCTTTCAAAAAGGTTGGATTTTGTGCGGATTTTGGTGTCCCCTTGCCATCCTGAACTTCTTTTCTTCTTAAATCCTTCGTTTTTTTAATAAATCCACACTTTAATGCAACAAACTCTGCCCGTCTGGCTGCCGCTCTAACTCTGCTCTGGCTCTGCTCTGATCAGCAGCTCTGATTGGTCAGAATACGGCCAAGCCCCTCTGTGCACGTGAATGAATGCCACACAAGCATATTTGGCACAACGCATCATAGGAGCTGGTCCACTGTGCAGAACCAGGAGGACCAGACAATGCCCAAAAATAGGCAAGTTCTGCTTGTCTTTCGGCCCCCATTGTTGTCCCATGTGCTATTGAGGTCAAGCTATTTTTTGACTAGGGCGCCATCTTGGATCACCGGGGCTTGGTCCTTCCACATAATGCCAATATGTTTATTCAGTGAGAGGAGAAAGTATATTTTCAATCCAACCATTTATTTCAATACCTGTCTCAAGCCATTTGGTACTTAGTTTATTTTCACATGTATGAGCTTTTTACAACAACCACAACCGTAGATAAAACCAATCTATCATAGGTATCTGACAGATATCTTGAGTGGCATCGCACTGAAGGGATGAAACTCAAACCAAAAGTGAGGCCATTGATAGAGCTGCAGCTGCACAGATAAACACATCCTTGCATTCAAAGCAGTTCAAGATGTATGCGACCCTCTTCATTCTGCTGGTTTTCCTTCTCACCACAAACAAGCAAAATGGTAAGTAAAATAACAGGGTTTTTTTTTGAGTCATTCTTTGCCAATGCAGATGGGTCAAAGGACATGGTCAGGAATATTCACTCCTTGGGGAAAGTATTTGTTTGTTTTTTTATCTTCTAAGATGTAGGAGCACTAAGAACACAAATAATTAGTTTTAATTTAGTTCATTTTATTGTAGGCCTTTATCAAATGGTTGAGATGCACTTTTCTGGTGCCAAAAACCAAGTGAGATGCTCCAAGGAGGAATTTTTCAGCTCCAAGCTTCAAGTCCATATAGTGACTCAAAAAGTGAGGAAATGTCTGAGGAAACCATGAAAGCTCCCTATGGACCAATGGCTCCTATGAGACACTATTCTTTTGAGTTTGAAGTGTTTGATTCTTTGATCAGTTGGCAAATGGACAACTTTGTAAAGTCCCCTGAGACAACTGCTGTTGTGACTATACAAAAATAAACTGAAAGGAGTGTAAGGCAGTATTTTTTTCTTGGCTGTGTCCCCAGTGTATGGAGGTAGGATTATACACGGGGAGATAGTTCCACCTGGGACATTGGAGTACATGGCTTCTCTGCAGACGGTCAGCGGAACCCATTTGTGTGGGGGATTTCTGATTAGTGACCTGTTTGTGATCACAGCAGCTCACTGTGAAAATGGGTAAGTTTATGCATAATACAGGGCTCGGACATCTCCAGGTGAAACTAAATAAATTGAAATATTGTTCAAAGACCAGTTGAACAATACCAGTTTCAAAGACTTTTTTATGTTTCAACTTAAAATGTAGATTCATTGCAGGGAAAGTTACATTTCTATTTGTTTGCCATAATGTTGATGATTATGGCATACAGTCCATTATTTTTATTTTCTGTTTTTTTGGGGGGGTTTTTTTAAGGTGTGAGCCAATTATCAGTTGTTCCATCTCACTTTGGATGTACTGAATTTATACATTTGCGTCACATTGTAAGTTGGGTTAATAGAAGTAAATGAACTTTTGAACGACATTGATTTAAATCTTGCTTCTCATGCTAAAGTTGGTATATGCTAAATATTATAAATTATGATTTTTTTTTATAAAATGTACATACCATCTAGACAGATGTGTCAAAAACAGATCTTTCATCACTACATTTTTATATAACAACAAACAATTTGTCAAATAAGTCATTCTTGACTTATTATGACCACTGCCAGTTACTAAAATATCACTTTTGTATGTGTTTCAGCCATGCCGACAGTGTGGTCCTTGGTGCTAATGATCTGAGCAACATTGATGACACCTTGAGATACAAATTCAGGAAATGCGAAGCACCTTTTAAATTTGATATTGGCTCAGACATTATGCTCCTCAAAGTAAGTATTTAATCACCAAAACATAGTTACTTTTTATATGGAGCATTTACATGTTCAACATTCCAGCATCCCGACATTTGAGAATGGAGCAAGAAACAAATCTATGGTGCAATTGTGGAACTGTAAAAATGTGTTTAAGTGATTCATAAATTTGCAACTATCAGCGCAATAACAAAACACTATACCTCTAAAAACATTTGAAAAGTTTAAATATACTGAATTAACTGTATTATCCACGCGTGTGTAATTGATAACTAGTCATAGCCACTATCGACCATCAGAAAATGGCACTTGATATTGTTTTGGTCGATCGATTTCACAGTGACAGTTGTTTACTGTTTTATTTGTTTTATTTCTGTCTTTTAATGTTGTTTTATGTCTGTACTTGTCTTGTGCACACTAGGCACTTTTGCAAATGTATTCCAATGTGGTTTTACTGCAAATGGCAAATAAATGAATCTGAATCTGAAATATATCACATTCTGGAATATATCAAATTCCAGAAATGCACCCACTGGATCAACAACTGTTCAATATAATTTTGGGCACTACACAACAACAATTTACACGTTTTGATTTTGTGCAGCTGTCCAGACCATGCTTGCTTAAACCAGTGCCCTTGCCCCACGCTGAGGAGAGAGTCTTGGCTGATGATGAATGCAGAGTGGTGGGCTGGGGTGCGACCCAAACCAACGGCTCACAGTCAAACAAGCTCAGAATGGCCAACGTATCCATCATAAGTCCCGAAACATGCTCGGCAAAATGGAGAGAAGCCAACGTACGATTGCCAGATGAGGTTATCTGCGCCGGTGGGTACAAGACAGACAAAGGGTTCTGTCAGGTAAGCATTGCTATTACCCAAAGGTGCATGTGCCACTTTTTATGTGCAATAACCGGATATTTTTGTGCATATAACTGTGTAGAGCAGCATGGTGGTGTAGGTTTACAGGTGCAGGGGTCCTTAGCATAGAAAACCTACAAAGATAATTCCGATAGTATAGAATCTAGAGACCACTGGGATGGAAAAGGCACTATACTCATGGGTCACTACAAGTTGCATAATGCCTCTTCCATGCAAAGTTTTTAATTGATATTAATTTTCTTTTGCAGGGGGATTCTGGTGGGCCGCTGATCTGCAATGGAAAAGCAGTTGGAGTCGTTTCTTTCTATTATTTAGGAATTTGTGACTATCCAACGATCCCCAATGTTTACACAAGCGTGATGAAGTTTCTCCCCTGGATAAAGCATGCACTCTCTCAAAATGGCTGCTGATTGGTTCATTATGTGCTCTTAAAGAATTGTGATGATGTAGTGTCAGCTTTGCTCAGGGGTGGTCCATGTTTTGACAATAAAAACAGGCAAGGGAGAGCAGAAGCAGGTGCGTGCGAGCATCACTTGAATTTTAGTGAAATAATTTATATTAGTCTGAAAGCTAAAGTATTTTCGCTCTGAAGGTTATCTTTGTAACTTTCCAAGATCCAGGTGAAAAGAATTGTAATGTAATCCAACACATACGAAAACTCATAGCACTGAAGTTGATTTTGATTCCATGAGACAGCCATGTAATCATTATAGCTGCCGACCTCCATTTTGCCGATATCCAGAAAAGAATTGATGCCAAAATTGAAGCTGCCCTGTAATCTTAAATTCAACTACATGATTTTTTTTCTGAACTGGGCATACAGAAGGTGTGTAGCTCTCTGCTCAGTAAAGCACAGGACAACGGGGATGAAATTACTAGATGAAGATCAGTTAGGCCCAACAGTCGAAGCACTTCTGAATAAATGTCTTTCATCGTCAACATGCCGAGACCCATTCAAAAGCGATAATATGTACTTTTGAAATGTTTATTATTATGATAACCATCCACCCATGGACCAATGACTCCTATGTGTTTTATTGTTGCATTCCCTGTGTTCTACGTGTTTGATTCTCTGATATGTTATTGACACTTATACAAAGATTTGCCTGGGTATAATTTTGTGAATTATTTCTGTACAAAAATATAAATGTGACTGAATCAAAGCATCCTTCTCATCATCCTTGTCAGGTTCTGCTGCCATGCTTGATCACTTCAGGGACTGCATAAATCATACACACAAAAAACCTCTCGTTCACAGAATACTGTACATTTAGCACATGCAACCAAGGTCAAAAGTTGTATCAAAGTTCAACCTTGTAATTAAGTGACCAACATACTGCATACACTTTGATACAACATTGTGTGCTCTATGGGAGATTCCAGCTCAGAGAGTATATAACCTCTAGAAGCCTTTTTTGTTCATCTGTAATACATAAATCCTCTGTGCGGCTTTGGAACCAACGTGATGCTTCTCAGAATTGGCTACACAAAGCTGTTCTCTGTAATCTAACTGTACAATATTCATACTAACGTTGGCCTGAAGGCTGTCGCAAAAGGCTCAAGGCACCAATGGATTTCATACATGATGTGAATAACCTCTAAACAAGTCCCAAACCGTTGAATGCAAGTAAAAAATATTTCTTTCTCTCTCAATGCATTATTGGCATTGATCCTTTGCCTCAGATTCAGATTCATTTATTTGCCATTTGCAGTAAAACCACATTGGAAAAACTGTGCAAGACTACCCCAGTGTGCACCAGACGACACACACCAGAGCTCTTGCCACAATCCTGTTCCTCACAAGATTTCCTTTTGAAAAAAAAAAACAAAAGCTAATGTTTTGTCAAATATACGTCATATTCAAAGTAACACAGATGCGACAAAAGCTTTTCAAACAAACATTCCACAAAATGTAGAAAATCTGAAACTAAAATGTTGTAGCCCTTGACCAGTTCTAGCTTTATAAATGTGGCTACTTGTTCCCATGTTATGTGCAAAACTATGTATTAATTTACAGCTATGATAAAAACCTTGTAATTAAATAATATCTTATTCTCTCCACATGCAAGCTGCAGAAACCCACATTTGTCAACGTTGATCATCTGGATTAAGTTCACACAAAACAGAGATGATACGTCATAGAAGTTCTAAGAAGCACACACTGTGGCTTTCACAATTACCAAACCTTATCTGCAATCATTTCAAACTCAGACTTTCTCATCAAATTACTGTGAACCATTTTCACGTAAGAAGATAGGGATCTGACCATATAGACTAACTTTCTATACTTGCTGTACACGGATCACTAAACTCTTTTAAAGCAGATTTCTTGTAACTGACTGAATGTCAAAACACAACCTTGAGAAATCAACCGTAGTTCTTGCAAAAGCAATGGCAACTCTGTTTTATGACCTAAAAATATGTAGAAGAAAACAGGAAAGCCTGGATGTACTCCAATACTTTCATGTTGAGTTGCATTATTTAGTGGCAACCTGCGACATACGGTTATGTCAGTATGTTTGTTGCAGAGTTTGTTTCCTTCATCTTTTTTCCAAAAATACATTCAAAAGTAAAAAGAAAAATAACACTTACTATTGGAGTTTCCTTAGTAAAACTCTAAAAAAATTCCTTTTACAATTTGTGAAGTGCAGACAGTGTCCATCTTAAAAAAAATAACAAAAAATAGTTTCATTTTTTCTTCTTCAATGTAAATATATGTAATAATAATTAATTTAATTAATAAGTCTGGAAAATGCGGCACACAAAGGCACGATGATAAGAGGCCAACAGCTACTCAAGCAGATGGTGTTTATTGTTATGCCAGAGTTACTGGTTTAAGGCAGTGGTTTTTTTGGGGGGGTCCCTTGAAAACTAGTTATCTAAGTGTATCTTGTATTTTTATGTTACTGATTATTTTCTGACAGTTGAAAATAAATAATAAAAAATAAATAATAATAATATTTTCTGAAAAACACAAAACCCAATAATTACATAATACGACTAGAACGCAGTAAAACAAATGCACTACACTGTATACCACAGGTGTCAAAGTCAAGGCCCGGGGGCCAGATCCGGCCCGCGAGACCATTTCCAGTGGCCCCTGAGATGATTTTAAATTATTATATTAAATAGCAGCATTGATGGTTTTAAGCAACAATGGTATGTTCTCCATTACTAATTTTTATAAGAAAACAACCATAAAATGTAATTCCATAAGAAATGTTAAGCTAACATGCAATTAGAAACAGTATTGTTATGTTTTTTTACGAGTCTTCATTTACATTTCTTCAGATATGAAGAGGATTTCACAATTTTCTTAGGAAAGAACCGCCCTCTCCACTTTTTGAACAAAACTCTGGGGTCTTATTTGACTAGCACAAATCACCAGAATGATTGACAGTTAGGAGGACCACCAGTCGTAATGATCCACACACAAGTTGACAATCTTCCTCTATACCTTCAATATTTGGTCCAGATTTGGTTCAGTCCCAGGAACTGAACTTATTATAATCAGAAAAGAAAATCCAATCCAACTAATGTGAAACAAGTCATTTATATAAATACCTTCATATTATAAAAAAGTATAATAAATGAAACCCACTTCTTCTTTCGGCCCCTGACCAGCCCTTTCATTTTTATATGGCCCTCTACCAAAATAAGTTTGACACTCCTGCTGTATACTGTTGTATTGTAATAATTATAACATATCTGTGCTATGTAAGAAAATACATCTATGTAGTTCATCACTTTTAAAACTATTTGGGCTAAATAAACAAAGTTTTTCACAAATATGTCGATTTAGTCTCAAATCTTTAAATGGCAAGACAAGTTTATTTGCATAGCACAGTTCATACACAAGGAAAGGAAAAGGAGAGGACTCACACAGCCAATTCACTATCAAAAATATCTTAAGAATGGAATGCTCATGGAATATGCTCAATTTCCTGAACGCTCATGAAAATAAAACCATTCTATCAACAAATAATGCAGTGGCCACTCCACATTTTGAAGCGCAGGAAGTGGAGACGCCCGCTTCAAGGTCCACTGTTGCTACAGATTGGACTTTGCCCACTCAAAACTCAAAACACAAAACGAGTGCACCCCAAAATAACTGCAGCATAATTATTTATTTCCTCTGTGCATCCCATCTACCTTTGCTTGGGAACCAATTCCATGCCTCACGGTTACCAACAGCTTTTGGGAGTTCCTCTCATGCAGACATTCTCCTGCTATGTACAAACAGAGTTTGGGGTCCTGAATAGAAAAAAGGGCAAAAACCCTCTGGCATTTACGTACATTGAGAAATCAGAGTATCAGAGTATCAGAGTATGGGCCCTGCAGTGTGCTTAGTATATAGCTTCTTTCTTGATAAAAATCTCCTCTGCTGATTGCCGACAGAGGCTGTATAAAAGTGACATGCAACAAATCAGCCACTCTGAACGATGCTACTTTCACAAACTATCACGGTGCTCCTCTGCTGCACGATTCTACATCACACTGGTGAGTACTTGTCACCGTACTACACCCTGCAAAGGGTCATTTCTGTCATTGCTGTAATTTTATGTTTTATTTGCTATACTCTTATGAAGACAGTGCTACTTTCTTTGCAGTGACTGGGATTGGCATCATAAATGGAAAGAAAGTTCCAAATGGACGCATGCAGTACATGGTCTCAGTGCAGAGCAGCAGAGGGCATGTGTGTGGGGGCTTCTTAGTCGGGGACCGCTTTGTCCTCACAGCAGCTCAATGTGCTTCAAAGTACGTAACTTTGGCCATCAAAAAATGTCATTGCTGTTTTTTCTCTAACTTGTAATTCTTATTTAGGGCACTAAGATCCGTATCCGTGGGCAACCTCAACCGCAAACATGGACAATATATTAAAATTGAAAAGCAGTTCAAGCATCCATTATTCAAGACACGCGACGAAGGGAATGACCTGTTGCTGCTTAAAGTATATGAAAACACCATGTAATAATTAATCTATTACAGATTTTTTATAAAACAATTTGACATTTTCAGTTGAAAGAAAGTGCTTTGACGGTAGGAAACGTGGCGACAATACAACTCCCAAATTTGAACATGACGGTCAAACCAGATGAGAAGTGCCAAGTGGCCGGATGGGGAGCAGAAAGTCAGAGGGGTGGACCAGCTGAAAACCTAATGCACGTCATGCTTTCCATTATAGACATAGAAACATGTAAAGCAAAACGGTCAAAACTCCCTGACAATGTCATCTGTACCCATGAAGACAATCAAAACGGATTTTGTGAGGTAAGAACATGTCACAATAGCTCATCCAGTATAATAAGTTAGATAAGAACTGAACTGAATTGAAAATACGTGATTTCGGGCTGTGTGTTTCAGGCAGATGCTGGGGGCCCTCTGGTGTGCAACGACATTGCTGTTGGAATACTGTCTTTGACGAAACATAACGAGGGACATCTGCCTGGTGTGTTTGCGGACATTTTAAAATATCTGGTTTGGATAAACGAGATCATTAATGAATAACTAAATATGGCTGAAATGTGTCCTTATTTACAAAGGCCGTGGTCAATTCTGATCTTCATTGTCTTCACTTTGGTGTATCAAACATATGTTGTGCATTAAGTGTAGCAGCCGAATAGTAGTCACAAGATCTTTGCCACTTGTCCTGAATTTATCAACCAAATAAAAAAAGACAGCTGATATGAGAGTCCATTATTCTTATAACAAGGTTTAATCCTCATCATTTTTGGAGAGCTTGTTTAAAGTTAATCTTTGGCAAGTGTGGTATTTTTTCACATTATGGAGGTAATTTGAGCAGAGGCTTGGTTATTAATGGACACAAGCCTATATACTGACAGTAGAATAATCAGTAAATAATCACAAGCAACTTAGAAAATATAACAGAAAGAGTAATAACAAACAAAAAAATGCTAACATAACACCTATGGATGCTCGGAAAGGAGTGGGAAGAAGTTAACCCTTATTTAATCCCACCCCTACTTACTTCAGTCATAGGTAAAGTAAAGTCTTCAAATTAGCTCCAACTTAAATTTAGCACAGATTGCGATATTTTTAAACATCTTCATCATAAGTATAAACGTTTTGAAACTGTCATCAAAGGACAAATGTAAGCCCTGTGTGGACAAAACATACATAAAAATACAAAACAAAAAAGCTAGGGACACAGGAGACATGAGAGACAGCACCCCTGACAGCACCCCAGACAGCACCCCTCACAGCACCCCTCACAGCACCCCTGACAGCACCCCAGACAGCACCCCTCACAGCACCCCTCACAGCACCCCTGACAGCACCCCAGACAGCACCCCTCACAGCACCCCTGCACCAAGAAGAGAGCCTCCCAGTGTCCTTTTTAAATAAGAAGGAAAAATAGGGGCAAAGAGTGTGATGGGTGCATACATTTGCAAAAATAGGAGCTTGCACCCACACACACACACACACACACACACACACACACACACACACACACACATACACGTTTTTGTTACCTGGTGGGTCCCTTTGACAGGGCCGTTCAGAATGGGACCCATAGACATAATCTTTTTTTACCAAGACTTTAAGTAATACAAAACAGTCAATAGAAACCAAACAACTATTTTAAAGGAATTTTATTTTAGATTTTGTTTTCGAATTGCAGTGATTCTATTTTTGACATAGAATTTAATGCCACTCCATGTCCGATGTCTAAGGTCATCTGGTGAGGCATTAATGCAGGCCAGGCAGTGAGACTTCCCAGGGACCTTTCCAGTCTGTATGAAAGGTGTCATGGTCTTCTCCACAGCCTTCACCTCAGATGCAGACCATGGCTTTCTTACACGTTCTAGGGAGAGAAATAAAAATATATTAGCAATATACACTCCCAGGGTGAGGACCAAGCAGCCTGGCTGTAATCCCCCACCTGGTACACTTACCAGAAGGGGCACTGCCACTACCATGGGGTGCATCTGGATGAATGGTTGAAGGTTCTCCGCGTGAAGTTTCTTTTAGCCCGTCCGTTTGTGAGAGGATCTCTACTGCTCTCCCTGTCGCACAGAAAATAAAAATACAAGTGGCCTTTAGGGGAAAAAAATCATACATATTTTAATAATATCAAGAATTACCTTCAGGCTCAATTTGTATCTGGTCGAGGCTCTTTCCTTCGAATTCCGTCACTCTTCCCTGCTCCATGGCCATCAACACTTTGCTGATTTTGGCCAGCTCCAGTGTCCCCTCTGGTAGTCTGTAATATTGCCTGTGGATGCGAATGTCATGGCCGAGGAAGTTGGCAAGTATGTCCATCTCATTCTCTTTCATATTGAGAACTGTAGACATAGTAGCTATGTGCTTTCTAAGTTTGGTTGAGGATAGCATCTCTGGATGCACCGCACCACATTCTTTGGCTACCTGGCGTAGGGAGTCTGATCCCCTGATGTGGGTGTCTGCGCCCGGGCGGGAAAAGAAGTATGGGTTATGGTCAGAGATGGAACAGGCCCTTCTGTTCTCCACCAGCACCTCCATCGAAGCAATCATTTCAGGAGTCAAAAGAACCGGCACTTTCCGACTTCTTTTCCCTTTAATTTCAATGCGTTGAAAATGCTGACACAGCTTTTTCTCAAGTTGGGACAGTCCCAGAGCAATGTCAGAATGGATCCCAGTCTTACTTCTTAAGGTAAAGGCTGTCAGTGGCATCTTTGAAACCTCACCTTCCCTTCTTCGATTGAAAATGATGACCTCACAAAGAGTCAAAACTGCCAGTTTAGACCAATGCTTAGACGTTGGCTCACTTATTAGGGTTTGCACATATTCAGGTCGACATACCTCAATATGTGCATGCATGGCTCTAACGTCCTCAGTCAGAGGGAGCAGGTCCGGAGTGTTCCACTTGGCTTGCCGGAGGGTCTGTAGGGCAGCAGAAGAAACACAGACGTCCCACCTCTTCTCAAAAAGCAGCCGGCTTCGTTGGAGGTTTTTAATAAATAGTTCATCAACACAATGCTCCATTTTTGAGTCACATTCAAGAATATCTGCTAGCTTTCTGAGGCTATGGCCGAGTTTGAGGGCCAAGGATGGAGTCTTGTATTGATTTGTTTCCTCATCATATCCAGCCACAGACCTGACTGCATCAATCACATGGTTAAAGTTGGAAGGAATAAAGAAATCCTTAATTGTTTTCAGTTTCCCTGCGGTTTTTGCTTCGTTAATTAACCTACCGACTTCTCTCATTTTCTGCCTAATGTAATCATGCTTTGTCTTATCATGCCCGTGTTTTAAGTACAGGTGCTCTCCGAGTCTCAGAATCCCCTTTTCTGCTTTGACAACACCCGTGACCTCATCCTGATGCATTGCCGAAATTAAAGACCACAGCTTTTTGCTGATGCCCTCCGGTACAGGCTGGGCTAGGGAGCAGAGGGACTGGACCCTACTTCTACCTGGTTTAGCCTGGGCATCTTTCTGTGAAAGCCGGCACCTGGCCACATGCCTCCACAGCGACTTTCGCTTAAGCAATGCCCCACAGTCTATACAGTGCAAAAACTCACTGGATTTAACTGGGCAATTTGGCTGTTTAGCTGGGACTAAAGTTCCAATGCCGGCCTTTAAAACCTCAAAATTGTGCTCACGGTTTCCACTATTCCTGATCAAATCAAACTGAAGTTTACGTGCTTTAGATTTCACAGGTAGAGCCAATGCTCTGGCTACGTCACTTTCATTTCCATGTTTTCTAGTCAAATGACGGGACATTTTGTGGCAGGACATTGAACAGTAGAGGCAGAAGTGTCTCTTGCTGTATACTCGCCCCCCATTTTTCTTCTTTTGCAGCTGCATGATAACAATCTTATTTGCCTTTGGTTTGTCACTTTCCGAGTCTTGAAGAAAAGTGTTTTTGATTTTTCTTTTTCCATACTTTTTTACAGGTTTCTTCTTGACAGTTAAATCGTCAGAATCTGAGTCGACTTCATCAATTAGGGACTCTTGACTAAGCTGCACAAACAACAAATAATTTGTAATCATTCTATATAACAATTTGAAGTCATGACTTGTAGTCAGCACTTACCAGTGGTTTGTAAGCGTGCGCTTCAGTGTGCTCCTCCATGATTTCTTGCAGCCTAATGAACCACACACTTGCACCTTTTTCTAGCCTGACACCTGATTTCCTCTGTTGTGCTGCTCCATGATTGGCTCCAGCCTGCTGGACTGAAATTGCCCCAGTGTGCCCCTCCTTGATATCCCGCAACCCACCACCAGGGTTCCGACACATAACACACTTTTTTCAGGAAAGTAAACCTCCAGGGGTCCTTTCCATATTTTTACAGAGACTGCATAAGGACCGTTAGAAAAGCATTACCCATTGATTATTAAGCTTGGACCAGTGGGGTCCGGTGTTCGGGCCCCACCACGTAAAACCAGTCCCCATGACGTGAGTGGAATCTCAGGTTATGGAACCCACCAGGAGTTGAAAACAAGTGCACCACTGTACACACCCACACACACACACACTGTTGTCTGTCTTGTTGTATTTGTCCGTACGTTTGCACTTGTATTGTATGTCTATATTTTCACAATAAAATAAATAAATTAAATAAATAAATAACGATACCAACGATAGGAATGAAAAGCATATACCCACGATAAGGATACAATACTGTAAATTGTAAGTAACAAGAACATGCCAACATGAGTCGAGGGAAAAACATTCAAGTCATAACCTCTCTGCATTCGGACCAGAAATTGTTTTTAAATAATGACTTAAATCGGTGAATTCTTGGCATTACATTAATTGAGGATCCAGAGCGTTCCACAGTTTGGCTGAGTGGATAGCACTCTCGCCTCTCAGCAAGAAGGTCCTGGGTTCGAATCCCGGTCTGAACAGGGCCTTTCTGAGTGGAGTTTGCATGTTCACCCCGTGTCTGCGTAGGTTTCCTCCGGGTGCTCCGGTTTCCCCTACCACTACAAATATGCTCACTAGGTTAAATCCTCCAGCTCCGGTAGTCCTGACCAAGCCGAACCTCAACATCTGGAAATTCCCGGGCGCTGTTACTACGGCGACCACTGCTCCTGACGTAAGCCTGGCATCAGGATGGGTCAAACCGTGGCATCAGGATGGGTCAAATGCAGAGGACAAATTTCCTTACGGGGATCAATGCCAAGACCTCTTAGATTATAGTTTTCTTTAAGCACAAAATATTGTTGTGTGTTATAAGGTAGTGATTTGTGAAATGCTTTGAATGACATAATAACTGTAGAATTTTACAAGCTCTGAGAAATTTAATATTTTAGATATAAGAAAAAGTTTGTGTGATGCAAGTTTTATGAATGATCCAACTCTTTATAACTGTGTTTGGTTAAACACAGGTTCAAATTAAATTATAAAAATAAATCACACAAAACATATAACATCATGGTATTACATAATAACTTCTAAAGCAAATTTAGCACAGGGGCCATTCCAACATGTGAGCCATTCAGCACTGGTTCAAAGACGTCGTGTTGATAAAATGGACATAGGACTATATTATGTACTCTAACATATGCACCACACTTAGTTTGGATGTTTTATATAGCGTCTTTGAGTGTCAGGATAAGCATTGAATAAAACTATGAATTATTACTATTATTATTATCATCATTTTTATTATTATTAATGTGTTCAAGTAGTTCCCTTGTGTATGAAGAATGTGTGTCAAATCTAAAGTGAATGAATCAACTTAATATAACATTTCAAGATAAATAAGAAAAAGAAGTGAAAAGAAAGTAGACATTAGATGGGTGATTGCATGTGTAGAGGCCATGTGACTTGTGTGGGCCTTGATACAAATCTTACCCGAGTCTCTATAAAAAGGGCATAGTTTCCTCATCCTAACGTTGGTAGAGAAGATGCATCTTCAACAGTTCACTCGTGTGCTTCTTTGTGTCTTTTCTTTGCTGCAGACTGGTGAGAAACTTTAATATTCACTCAAACTTTTGGATTGTTACAAGAGAGAGGTTGATAGAATGATAATACATTGCATCATTATAGTTGTCGCATATAAGGAAGAGTCGCATATAACACTTGTACTTGTGTATTTTTGGTGTAATAATTGTTATAAACCTGTTTTTGCAGTAACTGGTGGTGCCATTGTAAATGGACACACAGTCTCAGATGAACTTATGCAGTACATGGTCTCATTGCAGAATGAAACTAATCAACATTTGTGCGGGGGCGCCTTAGTGAGTGACAAATTTGTCCTCACGGCAGCTCACTGTAAGAAAGAGTAAGTCAAATAAAGTAATTTGTTCTGTTTTTGTTCTGTTGTCATTTTGCTTTTCAAACTTCTCCCTCATTTAGCAAACTTGTCCGTGCAGTACTGGGAACCCACGACCTCGAAAAGGCGGCAACTTTAGGACAGACAATTGATATTGACCTGGAGTTTGACCATCCGTTATTTGAAACACCGGGCAAAGGGGACGACCTGATGCTGATAAAAGTATGTGACACAAATGACTGGGGCTAAAAGCACTATAGATGCAAGAACAGGAGAACAAACAATAACATCCAATATCTCTGCTATAAATCCACATGGCACCAACTACTGTTACTATTGTGACAATTATACGCTTCAATATAAAAATACATTAAGCAGTATATAAAGAATACAAACAGATATATCAAATTGGTGCAAGTCCACATTTAAAGCTCCGGCACCTAATTTTCAAACTAAAAATATTTACCTATATATTAATATCTTAAAATGACAGAACATGAAAAAAAAAAAGAACCAAAAGTATGCAAAAGATTAAATGTTTTATTATAAGATGAAGGCAGCATGTAGTAGTCTGATTTGTTCACATTTGATTTTTTTCTCTTTGGACAAATATGTGTTAATAAGTGAAAAACAAGTAAGTACCCCAGATTTTAATTTTTTTTTATATATTTTCTAGCTGAAGAAAAAAGTTGTTTTGGGGAGACGTGTGAAAATAATACAACTCCCAACTGCGAACTTGAATGTCCAACCGCACACTTGGTGCAAGGTGGCAGGATGGGGGGCAACGGTGACTGGTGGTCCCATGGTCTCTGAACTGATGGTCACTGATGTGTCTGTTATTGACAAAGAGACCTGTGGCAGAATGTGGGGCTACGTTCCGAGCAATGTAATCTGTGCTGGAGGACACACCACGGAAAGTGGATTTTGCCAGGTAAGAAAAGTATTTATGACCCATGTAAAATAATATATGACTTATGTGGATTGTGTTTTAGGGCGACTCTGGTGGACCCCTTGTGTGCGGTAATACTGCAGTGGGAGTTGTATCTTTCAACAAATTCGAAAATTGTAACTACAGGGATTCAGTTCCAAATGTGTATGTTGACGTTTCAAAGTACCTTGATTGGATACATAAAACCATGAAAAACAACTGAAGAACATGTATACAAATGGTCTCTGTAACACAATTCAATAAAAGTAATCAGTTTCACTTTTGTGAGTGTGTGTGTGTCTATTAGGATGGGGTAGGATCACATTGGCATAAGTCTGATAAATAGTTTAGGAAGATTCAGCTCGTCTTTTTTGTAGACTTAAAAAGACATGTGTGACGTTAGTCGCTTCTGAGGAAGACGGAAGTATCCGTTGAAACATGTCATGGTAGTATCATTGCTAACATAATTTTGTCTGGTATGGAAGAACCTAATACGTTTAAGTCTGAAATTTTTGAATTGGAACGCAACTGTACCAACCTCATTATACGTGTGTGCCGGTGGGGTTAAAGAAAACTTAAAAACCTTTAAATGCCTCAAGGGGCAATTGTAGGGGCTTAGCAATATGGGAACTGATGCTCATTGCACCATATATATATTTTTTTTACACGGCTCCTCACAGCAGCAGTAGAAGGCTCCATTGATTTGAATGTAATTTCGAAACGTTCTACCGGTCAGTATTTCTTGAAAACGGACCTCTCAAAACAATAATGACCGCTGCCCTTTAGCAACGCACTCTCTGCTTGTAATTCAGATGTGTAGATTACTCCACAAGTAGTTCCGGCCACTCCGGAGCTAGCCACGCTCAATAAACGCAAATACCAATCAATCAACAGCTTTAAATGTTAATCTGAGAATACATTATACATATACATTCTTAATACACCTGCACGGAGATTTTCAGAAGTATCTGTTAAGGTTTTCATGATAAAAATACTGTTTTAATGCGAGAAAAAGTGATCACGAAAAACCTGGAAGTAGATTCCGGGACATTTTAAGAACATTTCCCCAGGATTGAATTATGGATTTAGGTTAGGTTTAAGTTTGGGTCACTCACTGCTCATGTTCAGAATTCTTTGTTCAGTTTTCATGTAGTTCGAGAGAGTTCTAGTTTGGAAGTTGCTAGCCTAACTGTTGCTAGCCTAACTGTTGCTAGCCTAACTGTTACTCGCATAGCCACGGGGAAGCCTTTGGGAACTATTTTATTTTCTGTCATTAAATAAACCTTTTGGCATTCCTAAGAGTGGACTGACAAAAATAAGTACCTTCAGGGCGGAAGCAGACCCCTCCGCGCGGTACTTACTTTCCGATAATAACCTGTGCAATATACATTATCCCTTACATATATATATGTATATATACAAAATATGGTGTTATCAAGGATCTCAAAAACATGGTCAAAATAATGAATCTGATCCTCTCAGCTTTCGAGCATGTTGTGGGGGTCTGGTATACAACAATATGTTAAATAACAACCACCAACTTTAATCCGTCAATAATAGAACTTTTTGCATGTTTATTTTAATAAATTGTTCAAGGACAAGATGGAACGGGCATGAAAGAAGAACTTGCCACACATCTGACAACATGATACTGCTGGTGAAATCTTTACGGCTTATTGCAAAGAACTTTCTGAAATAGCTGTTGACCCATACACTGAAGCAATGCCACCACATGAGCTGGATGATTCTTAAAATGAACCGAACAATCCTTCTTGCATGAGCATGAAGATGGCATGGATGGTGTTGTTGCTATGTGTGGCCTACTATGGTAAGCAACAAACCCTTCCTCCCACAGACGCTTGAGTTGATTCAATGAGTAAATATTGAGTATACCTTTGTGTAGGAGCAGAGGGGTCCCACGTTGTTGGGGGCAGGGACGCGGCGCCCCACTCTCGCCCATACATGGCCTCACTGCAACTGCGAGGCCGGCACGGTTGTGGAGGGCTCTTGGTCAAAGAAGACTTCGTGCTCACGGCGGCTCACTGTCAGATTCCTGAGTAAGATAACATCCCTTTGGTTTCACTTGATTTCTTAATGACATTCCAGAGGGACCCTGAATACTGTACATTAAGTATTTTTTCCTTGTGTTTTTACTTGATTGCTTCTCTGTCTGACAACCTTTTACTGATACTACTTTCTTATAAACCCAAATATCTGTACTTTCTACTTTAATAAAACAAGAAATAGTGTGCCTTTCATTAAAAAATTAGATGGTCTTTGTGCCGGCACATGGCTTCTAACCAGCTTATCCTGTAGGATTGGGGCCCGTCCTCTAGTTCATTCACCATCATTGTCAAATGGCTGAGAAATTATTTCTGGATAACCTCCTCTGGTGGTAGCATAGGGAAATGCAGGAAAAAAAAATCCTTCATGTTAAATGTATATTTTCTGATTAAGATATTTCACATTAATAATATGAAATACCAAAGTAAATAACAAAGTAATAATGCATACTTTTTTGACTGTTTTTTAAGAAGAATTCATTGATGTCATTAGGCCATTCACAGTGGTACTAGGAAGTGATTCACTGGTAGCAGACGAACCCTTGAAGCAGACTTTCACAACCGTGGCATCTATTCCACATCCTGACTACGATGGACACGCCAACGACATCATGCTCCTGAGGGTAAGAGTACATCCACTTTGATTTAACATTCAATCAAAAGAAGTATTAACCACGAGTAATTAATAATAACATTTAACATAACTTGTTTATCACCTGAGCCTGCCTGCACCTCAGAGAACAGTCAACAAAACCAAAGTATACTTACTGTACATGAGATTATTACTTGGAATACCAACTCATAGAATGAAGAGAGGAGAGGAATACCTCTATTGGATATTGTGAGTATCAGTACTCATACAGATACAGATTACCAAAAATAAGAGGACAAGCAATCCCCCGAGAAAAAATAAAAATAATAAGATGAATAACAAAAACATAACATTACATATATATTGTGTTTTTCCTCCTTAAACAGGGGGTAAAGTAAAGTGCAGAAGCGAGTCAAGAGAGGAAAGTAACTGATTGTATACATCTGTTTTAAACAATAACCACACCATACTAGCATTCTGTAAACACATTATATTTTGAGCTATAATTAGTATTATGGGACAATAGAAAATGTTGGGTGAATGATATGTGCAAAATTATGAAAACCTCACAACTAATCATTTTGTAGTCATGTAGTTCACCCTTTGAACTGACGATGACTGAGTGAGGGTAAATAAAAAAGTGAGTTCATCTGTTTGAAAAAGATGAACTTACGAAAATAGAAACATGGGAAAAGTAAAAGCTGTTTTGAGAGCGAGGAACTACTTAAATTGACATCATAAAAGTCAGATATCCCAGATTTTACAAGAGCTACTATTGATTTTTGCCATCCTAGGCTTGTGAGTTTCTGTTCCCCCGACAATGGCAATACACAGCTGTGGTTCTGTTTCCCCACAGCTGAATGCCAAGGCAAACCTCAGCACAGCAGTCAGGCTCATACCTCTGCAGAAGGGCCGCCTGAGAGCTGGGGCAGAGTGCATCACGGCTGGATGGGGCGACGTGGGCGATAACAAGACCTTAGCAAACAGGCTGCAGGAGGTCAACGTCACTATCTTATCCCAGAGACGCTGTCGTGGCAAATGGGGAGCGGTGCCCATCACACGAAGCATGGTTTGTGGCACCGGAGCGGACAACTTCCAGGGCTTCTGCTCAGTAAGCTTAATTAATATAGAAGAATTACGTCTTACCGCTGCGATTCCTAGCTAGCTGTAGCTATTGTTTTATCTTTGTTGAGATATGTTTGTATGAAAGTGACTGTCTTGTGGGGCAGCTGCAACTGTAAAGTGCCAAACTGTTGCTGTGTCCTTAGGCAAGACACTTCACCCACTACCTAAAATGGGTCTGCTGTGTGCGTGAATGGTTGATGATGGTTGGAGGGCTTGATGGCAGACTGGTTGACTTGCTTCTGTCAGCGTGCCCTAACCCTAACCATACCTAACTAATTTATTAAATAGACATATAGTGGGGCAAAACAATTTTTAGTCAGGCACCAATTGTGCGCCCGAAGTGCTCACACTTAAAAAGATGAGGGAGGCCTGTAATTTTCATCGTAGTTATACCTTAACTATGAGAGACAGAATGAGAAAAAAAATCCAGAAAATCACATTGTCTGAGTTTTAAAAAATGTATTTGCATAATATGGTGGAAAATAAGTATTTGGTCAATAACAAACGGCAATCTCAATACTTTGTTATGTACCCTTTGTTGGCAATGACAAACGCTTTCTGTAAGTCTTCACAAGGTTTTCACACACGGTATTTTGGCCCATTCCTCCTTTCAGATCTCCTCTAGAGCAGTGATGTTTTGGGACTGTCGATGGGCAACACAAACTTTCAACTCCCTCCAAAGTTGTTTATGGGGCTGAGATCTGGAGACTGGCCTCATAACCTTGGTCCTCCTGGACCTTGAAATGCTTCTTACTAAACCAATGGTGGAAAGAGGTTTTTATTCAAAATCTCACAATATATGGCCTCCTTCATTATTTTCTTTACACAGATCAGTTGTCCTGGTCCCTTTGCAAAAAAACAGCCCCAAAGCATGATGTTTCCACCCCATGCTTCACAGTAGGTATGGTGTTCTTTGGACGCTACTAGGGTTGCCGAGATTATGGACTTAATGTATGGTAATGTCCGAGATGCAAACGCCTCCTCCCCCTGGCCGCTCTGATCACTCTCTGGTGTGTCTCTCTCCGGAATACACACCCATGGTGAGGAGGAATCCAGCGCAGAAGATGTCTGATACAGTGTGGAGTGAAGAGGCTGAGGAGAGGCTGAGGAGAAGCTGAGAGATTGTTTCCAAAGCACAGACTGGGACATGATCTGCAGCTCTCATGGTGATGACATCGAGAGCCTGACACACTGTATAACAGACTATATTCTCTTCTGTATGGATAACACTGTAACGACTAGGAAGGTACGGTGCTTTTCCAACAACCACCCATGGGTGGCCCCTAAGCTTAAAGCCCTCCTGAACCTCAAGAAAAGGGCTTTCATCTCAGGGGACAAAGAGGAGCCGAAGAGGATCCAGCACGAGCTATAGTGGAGGATTAGGAGGGCCAAGAAGGACTATGGGAAAAAGCTGGAGCAGAAGCTGGTACAGGGAAACGCCTGTGACGTGTGGAGAGGCCTAAAGAGCAATTTTTTTAAGTAGGAGAACTTGCACAACTAGTGGCAGACTTAAGACTTTTTCCCCACTGTATGTATTGTCTATAATATATAACTTACATCCTTTGTGTTGTATGCCAGGGGGACTCTGGAGGACCTCTTGTGTGTGAGGGAGCATCTGCAGGGATTGTGTCCTTCTCTGGACGCCGATGTGGAGACCCCAGGACACCTGACGTGTACACACGCATATCATCATTCAGAGACTGGATTTTAAATGTTATCAACAATTAGACGGGTAATGCCGTTAATGTTGGAGTATAATAGGTTGTCCAGAGACTAGAAGAAGAAGGTCCTTTGATCGTCCCACAACGGGGAAATTTTAACTTAAAGAACTGCCAAGTCATGAGCACATTTGGCCAATGTTGACATTTTTAGCCTTAAAACAACCAGATTGTGGGTACAGTTGTCTGTTACCAAGTGTCTCTCTGGACACAGCTGTGTCCAATACAAAAAGGCCACTTTAAACTTCTCAATGCTTGTTAACTTGGTATCTTTTATTTTTATTTGTGTTGGTAAAATGTAGGCTACTAGAAATAAAGTTGAATGAATTCGGAGTGGTTTCTCTTCTTTCTTTTGGCCTTTTATTTGTACTAACTGCAGAGGAGACAAAAGTACTATAGTTTGAAGTACTGAAGTAAAAGTATGGATAGGCCTACAAGTATGAACTATGGTATATAATTAAAGAATTTAAGTATATGGAGAATAAGTATACTGGAGAATTTAAAATCAAGTTTTTTTTTTGTAGCCTACTTCAGTTACAAAAAAGTATGTATGTGTTACATACTTTTTAGTTGCAGTATGTCTTACATACTTTTTAGTTGTGTTTGAAACAACGTTAAACAAAAACCTGTTATTTGTCGTGCAGCTATCTGGAAAATAGCTGTTGAAGAAAATAACAATCGTCTAGAATCATGTCTTTCAGACAAAAGACATGTTTTATTGTCGATGGTAGACGAGCACGAACAAAGAGTCACACAATGCCAAGTGATATAATACAGCATGGACTCATGGAGACCTGCAAGCATTCGGAGATCCTCCATTTGCCACGATGCTAGTAGCTTGGCCTTCAGATAACAAAAACATTCCAGTGGAAAAAACACTGTTTTGTGCGTTGTTAGAATGATAAGTTTTTGTTTTTACCCGCATCCAAACTGCTATAAACTTTGTCAGAATTTCTCTTTTTATAGTAACGTAGCGGGATAAAATAGTTAACGCTAATACCTGTAAAGATACTCATTTACGTGATGATATAAAATACATACACGGGTTACATGCCGCGTCTGTCCACGTTTCAGATAAACTACATCTCCCAGGATGCTCTGCGCCGCTCCACGTGTCTCTTCAGGCAGACGCGACGAGTGGCTCACTGGGAACTGGTGTTTTTTTTCTCCACAGCAGCAAAACCACAGACATTTCGCGAGATTTTCCACGCACATGCTGCTGCTTCTATAACACGCGTATGTGCCCACACGGCTTTTTGTGTATACAGTCCAGCTAAAGGTAATACACAATTAGCACGCTGTAGTTTTGACAGACGCTATTAGCCAAAGACCCCAGTTAGCCTGTGTCTCCTGTCCGTGGGCTGCAGTGAGGAAGAGGAGGCTCGCTAGGTCAAATGACTGCTGCTGATGACCGTCTCACTGCATTCACTGGCAGCTGTTGTCTTCACTCATTGACAGGTGGGCACAACCTCACCTGGCCTGGTCACAGACTACAAATGCTACAGCTAGTGATCTATGGGCTAATTACCATAGGACATAACATGGCTACATCACAGTCAACACACAGCCAATAGAACAGTTGACTTTAGTTGTTCTCATGCCATTTATTTTAATTATTCTGTTTTGTCTTCTTGTCAAGGTCTTTAAATGTCTGAAGGCATGTCCAAGAAAAGGGGCAGGTGTGTGCAGTTTCTATAAGTAAAGAATAATTATAATGAAAAATATTATGGCCTTAATATACTATTTAATATATTTTGTGTTTGCAGAAAGCGTAGTAGTGGGGAACTGAGTGACACAATAGATCCTAACAGCATTCTGGGACTCCGTATTGAGCATAACTGGCGTGAGAAGGGAAACCAGAGCAAATGGAAAGGAACAGTACTTGACAGACTGAGTGTGAACCCAGCTCTGTACATGGTTAAGTATGACGGCTTTGACTGTGTCTATGGGATAGAGCTGTTCAGAGATGACCGTGTGTCCAATCTTCAAGTCTTATCTGAGAAAGTTGGTATGTGTGTTAGTGTCATTACCTCAAGGTTAATTTATTACATGTCTCTTACATGTGTCTCTTATTCCCATGTAGTAAATAATAAACTCAAGATCCCTCCTGGAGCTGAAGAGCTGGTGGGAAAGGCTGTGGAGCATCTTTTTGAGAAGGAAGATGGGGAAAAGAATGAATGGAGAGGAATGGTCCTCTCCAGAGCTCCAATAATGACGCACTGGTATTATATAACATATGAAAAGGACCCAGTTCTTTATATGTACCAGTTGTGGGATGACTATGCTGATGGAGACCTTAGGATACTGCCTGAAGCAGGTACTGCTAATCACTGTCTTACAAAGAGTTTATTAAATGTATTCCAGAGTCATTACTATGTCGGAAAAATCAATTATCTGCAGTCCATGAGATTTCCTTTTAGGATGTTTTCACACATAAATATACTACATAGAAAATTTGGACTGAACTCAACCAGAACCAGACCAGACCTAAAAAGAACAAGACTTGTTTGTCTCTAGATTAAACTGGAATCATACAAAGATACCGTGTGAACACAAAATTCTGTTTTGTATTCAGTATTACAACTAATAAGCAAATCAATTGAAACTGCTACAAAGTATTTTTCAGTGTGTATCAATATTCTTATTTATTATGATTATTTTCTTTTTTAGAAAACAAGCACTTATTGCCCCCAGACAGAAAGCCAGGAGAGGAAACAGAGAGCCTGGTTGGGAAACAAGTGGAGTATGTGACCGATAAGGGCTTGAAGAGAACTGGCCTGGTCATCTATCAGGTCCCAGCGAAACCCTCTGTGTACTATATCAAATATGATGATGACTTCCATATTCATGTGTATGACTTGGTTAAGACCACCTAGAGAAAACAGGCTATTACAGGGTTTAAGGTTAACATGCTTTGTCATTCAGAGGAAAGTGCAATATTATTGTTTGAATGCGTCATATATTGAGTTACTACAAGCTTAGAGAAAGTAACTTTCTTTTATCATTGCTGCTTTAGTTTTTTATCTAAATTTTATTTTTGGATCTCCATAATTTTGTAAGTTGCCTAAAATGTGACCATTTCTGCAGATTGCAGCTCCTTTTTTGATTTTCAAACAACTTTATCAAACTGACAAAAAGACTTGGTTGAACAAATGTTATGCATTAAGTGCCTTGGAGCTTATAGTTTTGCACCAAGTGTTGTTTCTGTCCATGTGTTGTGACCAGTTCATCGTTCAGCACAACTTCAAATAATAACATACTTGTTTTTAAATGATATGTTTAATGTTCTGAGCTAAACAATGTTTTAAAACTAAATCTTGTCTTCTAGTGTGATTGTTCATCTTAGAGATGCACATAATAATCTGAAGATGTGTAGTTTGTTTGAAAGACAATAAGAGTGGTTATACTTCTCTTACTACACAGCATGTATTCAAACTACTTCACTGGATGGAATACTGCTATTTACACAGATTCAGCCTAAAGTTCTTCATAAGTGTTCTTGATCTTGTGAGACACATGGGTTTTGCTTATATTCTTCTAGTTATTCTGTACATGTTACTGCATGCATCATCTATGGAAATGATTATTTCTCATTTTTGTGGCTAGAGTGCAGAAGTCAGTGATTTCATCCATATTCATGTACGTTCAAGTTAATGCTAAATATGAATGTACTGAATTTGAGTATGTGATGTACATATTTATCTGCTTTACATTGCATCCTGATGCCGAGTCATCAGGGGATATAGCTTTGTGTTTTAAAAATAAAGGTTTTACATACGTTGGTGTGAGCTTTTTCTAAACATATGGATGTTTAAGGTAAAGAACTGTAGACTGGAGCTTTGTGTCTGAACTTGTGTTGACAGAGGCAACATACACCCCGCCTGATATACTACCGAGACAAGTTTAGGTTTAAGGGGAGAACACAAACTGAATTTTACATTTACCAAATAAACTTGAGAAACATTTATTGTTGTCATGAATATATCAGCATGTATATTTTAGAATACATTCCTGATCAGAACATGTTCACCTCATGTCTGGGGACACAATGATTATGTAAAGCCAATAGACATTAAAATTGCACAACTTGGTTAACACACAGAAAATGGAAACATGTTGGCAAAAGGACAAGGCAGAAATCGATTGAACTGGAAAATTGTTTACACAGATCCGTCTTTAATGAAAGAATAATATACATACTTTAACACTTTCTGGATCAATTATCAAGTTGATAATCAACAATTGTGAGGGTACAAACTGAGCATTAGGAATTAAGTGCAAAAGTTCAAGATAAATAATGTCCAGCTGGTTTACTTTGTAAGGTCTTTTACATATTGGATACTCTGGTGGGTGTAATCGACTGCTTTTGTTGGAGCATCCGACATACTTGAAATTGTCCATCTAACGCCTGTGAGGGAAAAACAGGACAGAAGTTCATGTTATTAATATTCTCACACAATCCCCAGATTTGTGCAAATAAGGCACGTCCAATTGCAAACTTGTGACAAACCAACGTTAAAGTACAGTTAATATTAAAACGCACCAGAGTTCCATGCCTCAAGGGGAGCAAACTCCATCTTCGGGAGAGTGGGGAATTGAGCCTATGGACACATGAGCGTTTGTGTTACATGTCAGTAGTGAAGAGACAGTAAATGTACATGGTACCTCCACGCCGAAGTACTTCATCCACTCGTCCACAGCTGGGGGAACCGCAGCCTTGGCTTTGCCCAGAGCCACTGCCCCCTGCTCACTGCTGCCCAGTAATCCGGAGTCATACACCACGTACAGGGCTCCTCCAGCAATACCCAGCTTTGTGGTAAGCCTAGATACAAAAACAGGTATTGTTAGTTACAAATACACACAAGCAGACGTTGTACTGAACACATGATGGAAACGTGCAAGTCTGTTAGCTTAGCCGCGTTAGCCGTGACAGGACAGTGGTGTGGAATGGTTTTTATTCACAAAATCAAAAAGACTGACTTTATCACTGGCAGTATCCTTGCCGCCATGCCTCGTCCTAATGTAGGGCCCTCTCGGTGTCTTTTTAGTGTAATAATATGTCCAAGAACACCATGAAGAACAGGCAGAATACTGTCTGTGAGCTCTGAGCTACTTTGAAGGGCGAGTGCTGTAAACAGCTAGACAGGCACTACAACCAGCATGGCTGTGCCGCGGCCATCTTGGTACTGTATGATCAGTAATGGTAGGCAGTACAGAATGTAAATAGTGGCGTAATTTAGAAATTCATAGCATAGACCTTGATGTTTTGAAAGGTGAGATGACAAGAGATGAAGTAATCCAACTGTAAATGCAGAAACAACACAGATAAAATAACTAAATATTATATCACATGAAGGGGTAGATAAGGCCTGAATCCAAAACATAGATCAGCCTGGCAGGGAAATTCTCTGAACTGCTCATTTGTTAATTGGGCTTTGTTCATCACGAGCAGACCTTTACTTTCCTGCCCACATCTATCACAGCAAGAGCTTGTTGAATGTATCTGGAGACAAACACTGGCTGCTGGACTTCCACCTCACATAGAAGAGCATCATGACACTGACATTTATCTCTTACTGGTGTTATGTCCATTGAGCCAGTTAAAACCAATAATTTGGCTCAGGGTAATTAATCAATCAAATATTAAGTATGCTTCAAACAAGAAATGCAACCAAAAGTGCTAAACAGTTTGGTTAAAAACAATCCTGCATACCCATGACCCGTCAACCTGACCCTTTATACTTTTTAGCTTTGCTAATGATGGACAGTGAATATAAAAAGACCCTCAACAAAAAACGCCTCAACGCATCCTAGGCCTCGGCCAGTTGAGAGACATAAGGCTCATTCCCACTGAGCAAAATCACAGATGTGTTGTGTCTGAGATGGCATGTCTGTTATTTGACATTTAACCCACCTTGTAACCTTGTTTTCAGTATTTAGGCAGTTCAGTGTGCACACAACCAAATATAGTCATAATTTAGACAGCGATAAAACTTTTTTTTTGCCTGTTGCTTAGATATGGGTCAGGTGAAGAAGATTACTGCCTGCAAGATACTTTGCATATTGACAGTCTAACAACCCACATAACAAGAGTGAAGCTCTTAGCTCCCGCGCTGCTCTTTCCTTTAAAAGTTGATCTCGTAAATAATAAGATATTATATATTATAATCCATCCATTCATGGGTTGGGGGGGTGGCAGTTACAGCTGCACCCAGTACACATAGCACCAGCCCCTCACTGATTCTCCTGTGAGTCCACAGGAGCCTTGATCTTTCAGTGGGGGTGTTAGTATTAGATAGCAGATTAGGACTCTACAAGGACTCTGATTATTTTGACTATGATGTGACTGTCTCTGTGTGACACGTACGTCTTTCGATGTGTGACGTGACAATGACTATATAAACTGTGTACTGCCTTTATTCTGTCTGAGAGAAAGAAACAATGGAAACCACTGGAACTTGAGAGAAACTTAAATAAACTTCCAGAGTTTGGCGCACCACGATCCGTCTCTGTCTGCTTCATTCCTGACAGGGGCTTCAGACAAAGGGGGTCAAGTGTCTTGCCCAGGGACACAACAACAGGAGACATCAGTGGGAGTTGTGTAGTAGGTCTCATGGTGGGCTCGTACCCCCAACCTTCAGGCCCAAAGGCCAATACTCTGTTCTAATGTGTAACTTGTATAATGTAACTTTAATAACTCACTTTAGAAGTCGGAAGTTTGTGTGGACCCTTGTATTTTCATACATATATCTTCAACATTTTCCTGTGTTCCCGTGGTGAAACTGACTTGAGTCTTCGTAACACTGTATGAAAAAGTCTGTAGTTCCTGGGTTTGCTCTTGGCCTCTTCCTGGTGAACTTGCACAGAGTACAGGTCCATGGAGAGGTCACTCTTCAAATAAAAGTATTAATAGAATGCATTAATAATGTGTAGTATTTACAGCAGCAACATGTCTTCTGGAACTGAATCTGTTCATGAGTTCATCTAGTTGTATCATATAATGCATGACTACAACTGAATTCAGCAATAATGACCTCCTTCCTTGTACTTCTTTGAGCTCCAGGTTTGGGTAAATTTCAACACTGATATGTTATGAAGCTAAAAAGGTAATTTAATAAGAAGAAATAAGAAAAATAAGAAGCAGGGACAAATAATGAATTTGGAAGCAGTTGTGGACTTTACAAAAACATTATCAGATTTGTCATTCATATTTTACATATTATACATATATATATGGTCTAGCACAAGCATCCAATTGTATGAAATGAAGTGACAATAAATGTATCCATGACAGATGAAAGCCCGCCTTCAACAGCACATGGGACATAGTTGAAGGAGGGGCATTTTCCGTCTGCATAACTTGCATTCTGATCTGAACTGTATTTTGCCTTTCATGATTCCAGGCTTTACACACTCACAATGAGGACTTTGACAAAGCTCTTCTTAGCCAGTATCAGTGTGGCTTTTATAGCTGTCAAATGGAGTGCGCCGAGTTTCCAGCCAGGTATGGGTTGACCCTTCACACACATGATTTTAACGTTGTGTAACATAGGCATATAAGACTTTTGCATACATTTTGCTTGTCGTAATGCAATGTTGTATGTACTTGAATAGTCTCAGTATGAATGTGTAACAGTCAGTGATGGGCAAGCTACTTGATTTGTGTAGTGAGCTAAACTACAAACTGCTCTAAAATAAATATACTATACAGAGGCTACCACTCATACAAATGTAGCAAGCTAAGGTACACAATCCTGTCAAAAAAGCTAGATATAGTAGCTAGATTCAATGAAACAAGCTTCTAAAAGTCAAGTGAATCAATACAACTGTCACTCAGATAAAGGCTAAAATATGTTTAGACATTTATTGAACATTAGCCCAACATTTATGCTTCATGGTGAAATTATCATCATTATTTAGAGTGGTGCAGTGTCTGCTCTGCACTCGAGTATTCAGAAGCTGCAATGGTTGAAATTGTCCTCTAGATGTCAGTGTTCAAAGGCTTTGGCCTCGTGTGTTATGGGGCTTTATCTGCCCATTAAAAGAAGGATATTTTTTTGCTCGTCTTGACTGAAGTTACGTTCTTTTCAAGGTGTGATCATGGTGTCACATCTAGAGACTCCTCCCGGGCTCCTGGACTCTCTACCATCCCGTCTTTTCCCTCAAACAGTGTGCGGCGTGTGCGTCTGTCGTTACCAAAGCATGTGCTTGTACCTGGCATGTTGTTGATGACCATGGATCTATAAAATCTGGATATAGGAGGTAACCTGGCAAGAGCCAGATTGATGATTGTGTAGAACTCTAATGCGTTCTCCACAATATCAATCTGGGACTTCTGCAGGAGAATCCTTTCGGGGAAAAGGGGGATAAGCAGCAGAATACTTCAAGCTGATTGGGCGAAGTGACGCTGTGTGCCCGCCTACCAAGGTTTTACTTAAACCAATCCCGGTAACATCTTTGCCGTCCAGAAATGCACAAAGCGCCTCTCGCTGTTCAAAAAAGAAATTGCAGATTCTGCTAAAACTGACTTGATAGCCTCAGCTACGCGTCCGTCCTCCTGCGTAGCCATGTTTGTTTTGCTTCGGCCCGGCACTTCTTGCTTTCGTCAAACCCGGATATCCCGCCCAAAACCCCCAGACTGGCGCGTGATTGGCTTGAACACCTAGATGTTCTACTCGAAAAGGGTTGGCGGAGCGGGGCAAGATGTATAGAGCTCCGGACCCCACGTGACCAACGATGTTAGTGACACCATGACCGCAGGAATAAACAGCGGCGCCAAGCTAAAAACAATGAACGACAGCGGTGGGAAATTGTTACTTTCGGAGTTCACAGTGTCATTTCATGACATTGATAAGGCACGGTATATTGCCAAACTCAACAGGTTGAATATTAGCGACCCTTACTTTGAACTCACAAATATTGTGAGAATTCAGCTTGCAGGCAAGGTTATATAGGAGGATCTGAGTGACAACGTTGTTTATAGTTTTTCCGCGCCGGTCACGTGACTGGGTGGCAAAAGAGAATGCCAGAGAGTTAGCTAGTTTTAGACGTTTGGAGAGAGGTTTAACTAAATAAAATGGTCCATTCTTGTTCTGTGGTCGGTTGCTGAGGCCAGATAAAGTTATTTTTTTCTAATTCCTTCGGAAAAGAACAACAAAAAACAACCGGGGTAAAGTGGTCGGCACATTATGAGGGATAAAAATTCATTAAATAATTTAAGTTTTGCAACTACTTTCACTACACACTTGTTCACTTTGATGGTGAATTTTAAATATTGCATTTTGGTTGCTTTCATAAAGGTCAGATTTTTGTGTCCCTTGTCATCCTGAAAGTTTTTTCTTCTTAAAACCTTCGGTTAATCCACACTTTACTGCCAAAAACTCTGCTAGTTTGGTTCCCGCTCTAACTCCCGCTTGAAGATCTGATCTGATCAGCAGTTCTGATTGGTCAGAGTGCGGCCGAGCCCCTCTCTGCACGTGCATGAGAGCCACACACGCGTATATGGCGCAACGCATCATGGGAGCTCGTCCACTGTGCAGAACCGGGAGGACCAGACGGTTATAGACACACATTGATGACACACAAACATTCAGTCTTCCCAATTTGTTTGTGTTGTGGCTGCAGGAAACGCTGTTATGTACAAATATCAGAAATGTCCAGGATGAAATAGCTTTCTAACGTTGCTGTGCTACTTGATCAATAAAAGAGCTTAGCTACAGAAAAGTAACTTGTTCTAGTAAATAGTGACGTTACTGTCAAGCTACTGAGAAATGAAGTTAAGCTAGTAGCGTCGCTACTGCCCATCACTGGTAATAGTATTGTGAAAGTCCACCCTGCATGCCCACATCATCAAAAAGATGATGAAATTCAGTTGGATCTGAAAAAATCACTCTGTGCGGCTGTTAAAAGTTGTGATAATGGCAGATGTCTTCATAGTGCTGTGTGCCCTCTGGCCATTCTTTTGAAGTAAAATGCCAATTAAATGAAGACTTTACTATTGGCTTATATACAGAAGGTTTTAGTTTCATGGTTGATCATAGTGAAATTATAACATAAAACAAATGCTGTGTGTGTTTTGCAGAGAGCCTTCGGGGGGCCAGGGTGCTGGTGACGGGGGCTAGTACAGGGATTGGAGAACAAATGGCTTACCATTATGCCCGATTTGGAGCGCAAATAGTAATAACAGCAAGAAGAGAGAAAGTGTTACAACAGGTCAGTAGTACTATGTTATACACACAATATGAATAGTCACAGTTTTTGTTACAATGTCATAGTATATTTATTAAAGATCAAATACCAAGACTGCAGCAACTGGAGCTTACAGTATTTTGTTTAAATTGATATCGAGAGCCTGACACACTAAATAACAGACTAAATTATCTTCTGTGTGGATGACACGTACCAGCTAGGAAGGCACGGTGCTTTTCCAACAACCACCCATGGTTGACCCCTGAGCTTAAAGCCCTCCTGAACCTCAAGAAAAAGGGCTTTCATCTCAGGGGACAAAGAGGAGCAGAAGAGGATCCAGCACGAGCTCCAGTGGAGGATTAGGAGGGCCAAGAAGGACTATGGGAAAAAGCTGGAGCAGAAGCTGGCCCAGAGTGCCAGAGGGACAGCGGATGGAGACCAGCGCCGGGCAGATGAATTTAACCGATACTTCAACCGGTTCAGTTCCCCCCCCCTCCATCTGCCTAAAATAGCGCACACCAAGGAACCGGCTCACTACAGACCAGACGCACTGACCTCCCACCTGATGAAGACCATGGAGCGGCTCATCCTCACCCATCTCTGCTCCGTGGTCAGCCCCACCCTGGACCCGCTGCAGTTCGCCTACAGACCCAACATCGGAGTAGAGGACGCTGTCATCTGCTTACTGCAGCGGACGCTCTCCCACCTGGAGCCCACCGGGAGCGCTGTGAGGGTCATGTTTTTTGAGTTCTCCAGTGCTTTCAATAACATCAGACCGGCACTGCTGCGGGGGAAGATGGAGGACGCGGGAGTGGACAGTAGCCTCATTGCATGGACCATCAACTACCTCTCAGACCGACCACAGTACGTGCGGCTGCGCACACACAGGTGTCACCTGCAGAAGTTCTCCGATGACTCCGCCATTGTGGGCTGTGTGGGCTGTGTGTCTGAGGGGAACAAACTGGAATATTGGTCGGTTATCACAGACTTTGTCAACTGGTGTGAGTCCAACCACTTGTGCTTGAACACCAGTAAGACCAAGGAGATGGTAATCGACGATCCTTTAACATTAACCCCCATTTGCTGTGAGATGTCTATCATACAGTAGTAGCCAGTGCATTCTTATTTGATATAACATGCTGGAGTGAGGAAGTGTGTTCAGCGGAAGAAATCTGGTTGGACAAGCTTAATAAAAAAGTAGGCTCTGTAGTGGGTTATCACAGCCGAGCAGGTCACAGAGAATCATCCCGCAGAGGTGCAAATCTGAGCATTTTACATAGACTTTTATTCCTGCAGCAATAAGACAATGTAATGCACAGAATGAATATTAATGTTTGTGTTGTAAATGTGCAAAATCACCAATGTTCTGAGTTGTGTCAAAAGAGAAGACCAATAAAGTTTCTTTCTATTCATCTATCTATCTATCAGGTTGCTGATAAATGCCTGAGTTTGGGAGCACAGAAAGCTCTGTACATCGCAGCAGACATGTCCTCAGAGTCAGACCCGGAGACTGTGGTAGACTTTGCTCTGCAAAAGCTTGGAGGTCTGGATTACTTAGTCCTGAATCACATCGGCCCCTCACCTTTCAGCATGTGGAAGGGTGATATAGAGCACTCCCGGTGGCTGATGCAGGTAAATTAGCCCCGTGACAGACTCAGCTCCAGTGTCCAGTGTGAGTCTGACTGACCGTCACTGTGTGTTTTCCTCAGGTAAATTTCTTCAGCTATGTTCAGATGGCCTGGAAAGCACTGCCGTCATTGGAGCAAAACAAAGGATCACTGGTCATAGTTTCATCACTTTTAGGTAAATTTGAATAAGAATCAGAAGTTTCACTGTAAGAAAGTGAGAACATTCAAAACCTGGTTTAAGGGTCAGGTTCAGGGTCAGGCTAATTTATTTATTCATCACTAACCAGAGTGCACACACTGCCATTCATACATGTTCTAAAGAAAGATAAATACATGTATACATATAGGGCTGCAGATGTATAATATCATATTAAATTAATTGCTTAATCCTTCATGTTTGTTCCCACAAAATATCTCTAAATGTACACTTAATATAGGTTTGAAAAAAAGGTATAATTTGCAGTTAACGATTTTTAACTGCAAATTATTCAGTTCAGGCGTCACATGGAATCAAAGGGTCACCATGTCAATCATTTCTATAATTATTCACATGGCTTTGAATAATTGTAGAAATTCATCAAGATTGAGGAAATTGAAATTCATTGTAATAATCTGTAATAATTATTTCAGCCATAAAAAGCAAGCTACTTTTCAGCAATGGTTATGTGCTAATGTTTAAAATGCATTTCATAGTCGCATCCACAACTTAAAATAAAAATAACGTACAAAAAGGTGTCTTGGTCACACAAAAGGCCTGCTGGAAAAGTGTCTTTGTTGTTTTGTAGATCTGAAGGAAGAATTATTATCTTAAACATTGTAGGTGCTGGTGAACTTTGCACAGAGCTCCACAATCTCAATCTAGAAAGATGAAGTCACAGCAAACACATCCGCAGCATATCTCATTACGTCCTCTGCAATTTCCAAGGGCCTTATTCATCAACCCAGGTGTAAAGTATAATACATGTGCAATCTTCATGTTTTCATTCTTTCTGAAATGTGATAAATGTTAAATAAGTTTGCTAATCAATACAAATAATATCCAAACTAGACACTTTTCAAAAAAATAGATTCTAGATAGGTTTTTTATTGACATTTTGATTGCAGCTAGTATAAAACCTTGTGATGCCTTTCATATATTTATGTTATAACTTCTCGCTCATTGTCAAAAGTAAGACGATTAGATTGAATTGAAATGGTGAAAGGTGAAAGAACACGACCTTGGGATGAGCCAGTGGTGCTTCTAATAACAACACCATTAATGGACCAGTCAAAGCCAATGAAGAAAATGACAAATGTCTGGGATTGTGTGGACAAACAGAAGAAGACATGTTTTATTTGTGGATGGTCGAGACAGGCACGAACAAAGATTCACACAATGCAAGTGATATTATACAGGAAGAATCATAGACAGTCCATTCAGCAGTTGCAAACGTGTCAGTAGCTTCGGCCTTGAGATAACAAAATCATAAAGTGGAAAAGTACCAGCTCCGAGCATGAATCCAGCTTCAACCGCTTCAAAGTGTTGTAAAATATCCAAACTATCCTATGTATTTGAAATTCAGCATGTTTTAATATGATGTTTGCAGAGTAAATTCTTCCTTTCATTCCATCCCCACAGCTAAGATGGCCGGTCCCTTCACGGCTCCTTACTCCTCCACAAAGTTTGCCTTGAATGGCTTCTTTGGCTCCCTGCAGCATGAACTGGCGATGAACAACAGCAACGTATCTCTGTCTATTTGTACACTGGGTCTGATTGACACAGACACGGCAATGGAGAAAATCAGGTCAGTCACCAAAGCTTCTGTCTGTTAAAAAAAAAAATCTAAAAGTTTGTAAACTATTAAATAATGGGTGTTTATGAATCAAGGTTTATGAATGCATTCTGTGGAAAGTGTGTTAAAAATGTGAGGAACATTTGTTGAAGCTTATCTTTTGCATCTATGGACTTTTTAAAAATATAAGATAAGATATACTTTATTGATCTCACAAAGGAGAAATGTACATGTCACATCTGGCATGGATAGAAACACTCAAGATTGTGCAAAAGAAAGAAATGTGCAAACTTGTTAAATGCAGGATATGTTATGTACAATAAAAAGTGGCAATTTAAAAAGTGGCAATCAAGAAACAGTGTCAATAGTAGTGCAGGTTTTTCAGTCTTAATGTAGTGACTTAAAGTAAGTAAAGTTTATTTATAAAGCGCTTTTCACAGATAAGAATCACAAAGTGCTGTACAGGACAGTGGACAAAGACGAAACAATATAAAATACATTTACACACATGTACTTAAAAGTGACATTAGTGAGAAACCAATCAACAAAAAACTTTCTTAAATAAATAAGTAACTTGTTGTACAGTCTGACAGCAGTGGGGATAACAATATGAAGGTATTTCAACAACAAATAATATTTAACATGATAATAATGTCTTAATAATATTTTCTGGTAGATTTTAGTTCAATCACTGTGTGTTTGGGTTGAACCAAATGAAGAGAATGTCTAAAGATGTAGAGGTCTGGGAGGTCTGGAAAAAACACTGTAGATGGATAAATAATAATGATTGACTTATTTATATATTATTAACGTATTGGGTTAAAATTATATAGTACATGAAAGGATGCAGTCTTTTCTTAGATAAAATGAGCTTTAAAATGTAGTATAACATGCCACGGCCACGGTAGCCATACGAACCTCTTATCAATGTTAATTATAATATTTGAAAACAATTTCAGAGGCCACTAAAACTGGTCCCACGGGTCAAATTTGGCCTGATGTTTGACAGTTAGATCCAGCTCTCAATCTACAATTTTAAGAAATCAAACCACAAGATGCTTTCTTCATCCTATTTGAAAACATTAATACTTTTTCCAGTCGAGAGCTGATTGGTTGAGCAATACTTTGTCTTTGTCTGAAAAATCTGGTTAAATGGGGAAAAGTAACATTGTGCCATGTCAGATTCATTCATCCCATGACTTAATGAATGAATGAAAGCATAATGTCATTTCTCACGTCTAATCCGGGGGTGTTCAAAAATGCATATATTTCACTTGAAGCTGTGATATCGAGTTTTGTTCATGAAATATGTATTTGGTTTTTACCATCTGAACATATCACAACATTCTGCCTTTTTGTTATCAGAACACATGTTAGGATTTAGCAGACAGAGACGGATCGTGGTGTGCCAAACTCTGGAAGTTTATTTAAGTTTCTCTCAAGTTCCATTAGTTTACTCTGTTTCTTTCCCTCAGACAGAATAAAGGCAGTACACAGTTTATATAGTCATTGTCACGTCACACATCGAAAGACATACGTGTCACAAAGAGACAGTCAAATCATAGTCATAACATGGAGTCCTTGTAGAGTCCTTGTACAGTCCTGCACGTAGGCCATATTGCTATCTAATACTAACACCCTCCCCTTTGATCACATAATCACATGTGATCACTCAATTTGATCAATCAATAAAGTGGAAAAAGAAAAAAAAAAAATTCTAAAAAAAAACTTTTAAAAATTATTAAAAACAAAGAAAATGTATGCATTAAACTCATAATCATCAAATCAATATCAGTGGATTTTATCCTCTATCCTGGGAAAAAACAAACAAACAAAAACAAACAAACAAATCAAAAATAAAAACAAACAAAAATAAAAACAAACAAAAACTATTGGACACACAAGAACTCAGCAGATTCAGTCAAAACACAGACAAAAACGAGCTGAGTCTCAAATTAGAAGCTAATTTAACTTTTATTACTCTATACTTTTATTCTAATGCTAATTGTTTACACTACACTCAATCTTATTTCACTGTATTGTTTTCACTTTTTAATCTTATACTGTGTACTTTACTCTCTATTCACTATAGTTTAAAACTATTCTAATCTATTCACATAAATCTCTCTGTTCTGTGGTTTACACTCTAATTATCAGTGGCATATTATTAGTGGGATTTTGCTCCATGTGGAACTATTCTCATTCTCAGGAATAAAACTGTGAACACAGTAAGGCAAATGGTCAACATTTACACTTCTATAGTGGTCAGTGATTTATTACTTTTTATTATCTAAAGATATTATTGTCAGGCAGTTTGGGATGAATGTACATCATTAATCAAATTAGTATTATCCTTACAAGAGCTAATCTATTTTAGCAGGTTTGGGGTCAGTTATTCTACAACGGTGTTTGTGCTGGAAACTTCTCAAAGATATCCAAATATCTACTATTGTGTTTTTGTGCTACACCCAAATACATCAAAATGCTTTTAAATGCTTTTGAATCTCTCTTGGTTGTAATCTATCTCATTGATCTAGGCATTAATCTAGGCTACACTCATATGGACTTTTTGCATAGTCAACATTCACTCATGTTTGAACACAAGTGAATTTGGCAGTATCTAATAAAACTGTACATAAAACTGTAATTAACTTTATCTACTTTTGAAGTAAATGCTTGTGAAATGGTCCCTTTACCATTTGATATTAACACTGGCTACAAATAATCTCTATTTTTGAAAGCATCTATGGTTGATGCATTTATCTATTCCTATTTTTACTCTATTTTTTAACTCAAAAGCTCGGCTGCAGCTTGAGCAAAGGCATATTTCTAATTTGTGACTTCTGTCACTTTTAATGGCTGTAACATAACTCTGATTCTAATATTTTAGCTGATCTATCAAAAGGATAACATTGTAGGGTACTATTTTAACTCTTATGTGGAAATGTGTTTATGAAAAACAAAGGAAGGACAATTCTACTTTTTTACTACTATTTAACATCTACTAAAACGCTACAATACTTATACTTTATCATTTTCAAAGTTTTTGTCTGTCAGATGTCTGAATACTTAACATGTATATTGCATTTGGTCACAGTTGTGGTTCTGGTTGTAGCAAAAGCATCGGCAATAGACGTTTTCATTGGCTGGTTCTTGTTCTGCAAATGTCTGTGTCCAATAGATCATCAGATGTCCAGAAGCTAGGGACAAACAAAAACAAAAGAAAGAATCATGAGTATCTGTCTCATTTAGCACTCATCAATGTATGATTTCAAAAATATAAACATCACTCCCCAGTTTTCTCTCTCAGATCCTCAGGTCCTCAGGGTCCCCTGAGGGTGAGTCTCAGTCGTCATCAGGTCAGGTCATATTTCCAGAGATGTTATCTTGGACATCAGTAGGGTCCAAGCCATGGTTCTGGTCTCTCCAGTTGGACATCAGATCTCCAGATACAGTCTTTTCAGTTGAAGCACATCAGGTCATTTGCGATGCACTTCTGGTCAATGGTGCAGTGTCTCAGTTCCTGTACACAGCTTGTTATGCAATAGTTACTTTCTATGGTTAAGTCACTTTGATTCTACTTTAACACAATTTCTATTCATGCTGTTGCTAATGTCTCTCAGACAAAAGCAAGCGCAGTTTACTTCTCTAATTTGTGTTTTTATCAGATCTAATCCTAATCAATGTAATTACTTCACACAGTACAAAATCAACAAATCAAAAGTGTCAGGACAGACGTCAATTAAGTCCATGACAATATAGAATTCAAATGAACATTTCTGGTCTCAAAAAATACTGATTCAAGTGATAGACAATTAAAAATATGTGTTTACATTGGAGTAAACTTTTAAAATGCTTTTTTCTCATGTTCTGCTTTTTCATGTATCTATATGTAAATGTGAATGTGTGAGTGTATGAGTGTATGTGTGTGTGTGTATATGAATTTTGGGGTTGTCTCTCCAGACTCCACGAACCACCTGTAGGTCTCAAAGGTCACACTGTGGTGATGTAAACCAACTGGACACACTCTCAACTCTCATTCAGGTCTTTCCCTGATGCTCCACCATCACGTCTCCAGATACCTCTCTCTACCCCGGTCTCTCTCACACCCACTCATCTCTGGAGTGGCGTGGGGAGGGGCAAGGAGGTGGCATTTCCTTTTGCTCTTTGATCTGTGACCTGTGGCTGGGTGGGCTTTGCGCTGTCCAGTGTCCAGCAGTGACCTCTCCCACAGTGTGCCAGAGTCTGAAAAACAATCCTTGAAACAGCCAATTTAAAAAAACAATAGATATCAGTATGCGAATGAGATTGTTTTTCTCTCTGAAGTCAAAACAATTTGAGCGCTCTGGGTTTTCCCAAGCGCTATGTAAATAAAGATTACTTATTCTCTTACTAATGATGACATTTTTAAGACCAGAAACTAAAGAAGTTATCAAAACAACAATTATACTCAAAACAAACAACCTTTTAAACTTTAAAACATGTATTATGTACTTTTGTACTGTGTGATTAATTATCTGTGCATTTATCTCAGCATATATTTTACTAATTTAAAATAATTGCAGCATTTTTCAAATGAAGTCAGTATGAATTGGAGCACATTTTAGAGCCAGGCTCCTGTGCTGCGTGCATCTGCAGCAGGAGGAAGGTCAGGTGCATAGTCAAAACAAAAACAAAAGTCACCACTTGAATGTGAATTGGGTGAATTGGGTAGTTTAACTTAATAATATAATACTTTTACAGCCTAATTCTCTCTTTCTTTTTTAGACGAAGTCTACAATCATTAATCACTTTTAACAGATTCTAATTTAAATGTTTGAAAAAACGGCTTTTGTAACTAAAATAAAAATACATGAAAAAATTCTCACAAACAGCTATGAAATATATCAGAGATACAATAATGGACTCACAAAATAAGCAGCAGATTTAAAAAGAAAAGCAAAGCTTTTTGTACTAATCTTTGGGTTTCAAAAACATACTAATTCAAAACTTCTATTCCCTAATGGTGTTTAAAAACGTTTAACTGTGTCTAACACAATGTTCAAATGGCAAATTTAGCAAATTTAACGGAATAACTACTATGAAAAGCCAAATTCCTAAAGCAGTAGCTCCCCTTTAAATCAGAGCAGCAGCTCAGCAGCAGCGAGGGCGGGGGGGTTCCTTTCACACAGACGCGCACACACAGGCAGAAAGATACAGAAGAATAACTTTCAAGATTACTTTGTTAAGCGAATATAACTGATGTTGTTCTTTATACTTTTGTCATCCAAATCTAGAAGTGATCACTTTCCACACTTGTAACAAAAGGCACTCTTGTCTTTGACGTTTACGCTTCTATTTTATCGAGGTAGCAAACTAATTTAAACTTAAAATCTCTTTCTAAAAAACAAAAACAACTGTTGGATACAGCCCTCTCATAGCTTAACTGTAGATAAAACTCGGCAAAAAATGTAAATAACTCACGAAAGCTCTCATAGCTCAACTTTAGATAAAACTCTGTATTCTCCGGTGAACTCTGTTCACTCCAAAAAACAAAAACTCCCTTTTTCTGTGATCACTGAAATATTGTTGCTTCTTTACTTTTGTCATTTATCAGCCTGAAATTCGTCAATTTCAAAGCTTTTGTAACAAAGGCCTCCTTAACACGTTTCCCTTTTTATAATAACTTTTATGTTTACACCATGGTTTCACTTATGGATCCTCACTTTAATGGCCAACACTTTTCACTTATGGATCCTCACTTTAATGGCCAACACTTTTCACTTTATGGATCCTCACTTTAATGGCCAACACTTTTCACTTTATGGATCCTATTCACTTTAATGGCCAACACTTATTTGAACACAATTTAGAGAGTTCGACAGACCTCAAAAACACACCCAAATTTAGCTAGTATCCAATTATGCAGACTTTACATTTAAAAAGGTGTCTGCTTACCTTATTCTTGTCAAAGAGGTGCGCACGGGCTGTCCGAGAGGTCTGCCAACTCTTTTCCGCGTCGGAATCTTCAATTTAAAAAACAAAAGTGACAGAAGCGACAAGAAGCATCCAGGAACAGCTCTTCCAGCCTGCTGGAATCTCCGCTCCCAGACACAGCATGCCGATCTCTCACGCAGAGGAAAAGAAACAGAGCAAAACTCCCCCAAAACAATCCAGAGAATGGCACAAACCGAGCCGCGCATTCTCCACCAAATCTGTTAGGATTTAAGCAGACAGAGACGGATCGTGGTGTGCCAAACTCTGGAAGTTTATTTAAGTTTCTCTCAAGTTCCATTAGTTTACTCTGTTTCTTTCCCTCAGACAGAATAAAGGCAGTACACAGTTTATATAGTCATTGTCACGTCACACATCGAAAGACATACGTGTCACAAAGAGACAGTCAAATCATAGTCATAACATGGAGTCCTTGTAGAGTCCTTGTACAGTCCTGCACGTAGGCCATATTGCTATCTAATACTAACACACATGTTGCAATATGTTTCTTACTTGGCTGAATGAGGAATGGTTATCTCTTTCTCTTGTCTGTCTGAAAATGCTGATTTATGTTTTATTTGTAACAGAGGTCAAAATACAGGCAGGTGAAAACGTATTTATTATAACCAAAACTGTTTTGAGAGCAACAAACTAGTTGTATACGTTATATGCATATGTTTTTGTGATTTTAAAGTTATGTACCCCAGCTTGAACCAATCCAATCGCATTGAAAAACATGTAATGGCAGTAGACAGTAAATAAACACCAAAAATACATCATATTTGTTATCTGAATACTTGTTTCTATGATTTGTAGGGGGATCATTGATATCCCAGCAGCCCCAGCTTCGGAGGCCGCTCTGAGAATTATCCAGACGGGAGCTACTCGACAGGAGGAGCTGTACTACCCCTGGAACACATACTTAGCCACTCTCACCAAAGACTGGATCCCTTCAGCCACCAACTACATCGTACGCAACGCATACAACTACATCCCATGATACAGCCACGTTGGAAGCCTCGGGGGATTCAACCCCTTCTTAGCCTTCTCTTTGGGACTCAAACCTACCCCCCCCCCCCCCCCCTCCCCAGTCAAAAAGCATTATGGGAATTGTGCAAGTTGCAAATGCTTTCACAATACTCGCAGAACTGAACTCAAACGACCCCCTATGTAATGTTTCTAGTTCATGTCTTCATGGTGAAAAATGCGTTTATTTTGGAGGATAATAAATGAACGATCAAAAACCTTGAAGAAAGTGTTGGCTCCCGCTTAGTTAGTTAGGTTATTTATTTAAAAACCAGCACAAAACAAGATGCAAATATCAATTATCAAATGAAAAACATGTCACAAGTTATGCAAAGGGGGTTCAGGTAAAGCAAATACAAATTACACTAACACTGGACAGTTTCAATGAATTTCTGCACAGACCGAGAGCAAAAATAATGTAAACAACCAAGAGCTATAATACAATCAAAGTGTGAGTTTATTCATTAGTAAAAGTGCACATATACAATGAATAACAGAACCGATACCGATACCACCTGCAGCCGTCTGAAACCGTCTGCCCCGACTGAGGAAAGGACGGACATTAAATCGACCTGAGTAAACAAAGACTTATTAAATGACTTGGATCGTACGCGCGCTCTGATTGGCTGATTTGCGGTCTGATATTTTCCCATCTCGTACCGTTACCATGACAATTGGTTCGCAGCGTGTATCAGATTTGATATCTTTCCTCGGTAAAAGAGAAATAATGAGAGACGACTGGGAGCATTCTCCAGTGAATTCTATTATCATTCACTATCTATCCGGACGAGTTGGAAGAGCCAGAGGAAGTAAAAACAGCAAATAACGACGAAAACACAACTCCTAACAGTCAAGAAGAGATTGACAACTTTCGTTACAGACCAGAAAGGTAAAAACAGGATCAGGAAAACCAAGTCGGACATGACCATACTTCACAAATATCTAAAAAGCATTGGTAAAGACACAGACTGAGAACTTACAGCGGGCGCCTCAATCCTCTGATAAGTTCTTCATGTCACGGTTTGACAGTTTGGTTGCACGTGTTTTTAGTTGAAACCGATCGATATTTGCACAAATTTAAAAAAGTCATAAAACATTTATTAACCTCGCTTGCTCGGTCTGTACCATAGAGAAATATCAGACCTTGGTCTTTTTGTACAGACCTCGCCACGGCTCGGTCTGTACAAAAAGGCCTCTGTACAGACCTCGCGCTCGTTTAACAAGCCGTTATTATCTACTCTAGATATTACACAATTGAAGTCAGTATTGATATATGTGTTGCTCAAGGCTTCTCTTTACGCTTCCTTACTCTGATACAACTCTAAGTAAGCTTTATTTAAGTAAGTAATCTTTATTTATATACCGCCTTTCACAGACCAGAGTCACAAAGCGGTTTACAATTGTTATTTTTGGACACTTGTCCTCTCACTCCACACAGAGATGGGAGCGGGGTGAGATACGGGGCTCTGATACAACTCTGATACTTGTAATAATCTGCTTTGACCTGAACATATTGTTCTTTGACCCAGATAAGGTCACACACATGTTGAAGCACGTCTCATATCTATCAGCTGACCTGCTGCCAACAGACCATATGTGCTGTATTTGAATCCAGAGTTGACTATGAGTTAATAACTTACACTTATATCTATTTGATGTTAATTCAGATTGCTTTACTAAAAGATGTCTATAACAACATTATTACTTCAAATTACATAAACAAGACACATAACTCGTTCTCTCGCCCACACAGACAAGACACTGGCCCAAACACTCCCTGACCACACACCTCTCTCCCACCGCTCTGTCCAGGCTCAGGGCATCACTCTCATGTCTCTTTTAAAATAGTTTTTGTAATGTAAATGCAGTCGTAGTTGACTATTTTAATTCTTCTTTTAATCTATTACAAATGTGAACGCCTCGGACCGAGATACACATAGATTTGAATGTTATAAAGTTTCCTCTTAATCTGTAATTATGATGGCATCTCTAGCACTGAAAAGATGACTTAAATTGGTGGGTTTTTTCAGATGCCCTGAACTTTATCTGAGCAGTTTTAAGGTCAATCAAGTCCTGCAGTTTCAGTTGTTGGTTAAATATGAACAGAGGATTAGAAGTATGTCTGCAGTGGACGTTGGACACAATCCTATAGCCTTCTTTTGCAAGATTATCAGAGGCTGTAAATGAGATCTGTAGCAATTCCCCACACTTCCACACAGTAGTTTAGATTATGACATGAATGATACAGTAAGATAAGAGCATTGGTGTTGATTAGGTGACTCCTCTTCACTATTCCCACACACTTAGCAACTTTTGTTTAACTCCAGTGAGGTTTCTAAGTTAAATCTTCATCTAAAATTACTTTCAAAAATGCATTTTGTTGAACTTTATCAATCGGTGTGTCAAATATAATTCTAACTGCTATTTTACTTTTACGATTACTAAAAAGCTAGCCTGGCCTTATCCATCCGTACACTCCACTCAATCTTCATTTCACTGCATGTAACGTCTGGGTCTGGTGCCTGTGTTAGCGATTACAATTGGTTGAATTTCAACCGACCAACCAGCGAGCGCGGGAGTTAGTTGTGGGTGACGTCAAGAGTTTAAGTCGAACGGTAAGCTTGTAGTTTGGCAATGCTGAAAAATGCGATAATAAAGTAATCCGGTCTGGTTCTATCAAGAAATTGAAGCTGGAGCAAGGGTAATGTTTAGCAAATGTAATCTCTAGAAAAAATTGTGGCGCTACTCCCCACGGGTTCCGTTAGCGGCAAAGGAGACGGCTAGGCTAAATGCTAATGGTCGCCTGGGTGCATTACATTCGTCACGGTAAACTCAGATCCAATCGTTTCAATCTGCAAAAGGAGTTAACCCCTCCCACCTGTTAACGGAGCTCAATGGAGCACCTCCAGACCTTAGTACGAAATGTAATTTGTACTATGGTGTGGTACGACCAGGCTAATAAAAAGCATTATTTTGGTCTTTTTTAGGTTAAGTGACAGTTTATTTTTATTACGACTTCTATCCCTCCACACAGTTACGAGGGATAGAAGTCGCTCCAAGTCGTCTCCTGAACATGGTGGTGATGCTGGTGATTTTTATTGGCAAAGAGTATACATTTCATGACTATTGATATTTTGCATATTTCATTGATGTACATAAGGAAGAGTGTGGGTCCTAGTATTGATCGAGTGTGGATCCCAGTATTGATAGAGTGTAGGTCCAAATATTGATAGAGTGTAGGTCCCAGTATTGATCGAGGGTGGGTCACAGTATTGATCGAGTGTGGGTCACAGTATTGATCGAGTGTGGGTCCCAGTATTGATCGAGCGTGGGTCCCAGCATTGATCGAGCGTGGGTCACAGTATTGATCGAGCGTGGGTCCCAGTATTGATCGAGCGTGGGTCCCAGTATTGATCGAGCGTGGGTCCCAGTATTGATCGAGCGTGGGTCACAGTATTGATCGAGCGTGGGTCACAGTATTGATCGAGCGTGGGTCACAGTATTGATAGAGTGTGGGTCCCAGTATTGATAGAGCGTGGGTCCCAGTATTGATAGAGCGTGGGTCCCAGTATTGATAGAGCGTGGGTCCCAGTATTGATAGAGCGTGGGTCCCAGTATTGATAGAGGGTGTGTCCCAGTATTGATAGAGCGTGGGTCCCAGTATTGATAGAGCGTGGGTCCCAGTATTGATAGAGTGTGGGTCCCAGTATTGATAGAGCGTGTGTCCCAGTATTGATAGAGCGTGTGTCCCAGTATTGATCGAGTGTGGGTCCCAGTATTGAAGGTGGTGGCTGATTTCATTTACATCTTGTACATGTTTACAAAGTTGTTCAACATGTACAAATCCTATTTAGCCTTTTCTGAACAAAAGTATGAAGCAGAGTGATGCTTACTTAAAAATACAATGGACATGATACCCACAATTTTCATGTTTATGGTTTTCAAGACGATTTCCCACTCTTCCCACTAGATGGCAGCGTTGGCATATTCTAGTCATCCATATATTGTCATACTTCTCTTTGGGTATATAAGTGTGACTTTTGTTGTAATGGGAAAAGAGTAGAGGGACAAAAAAAGTCACTGTTGTCAACGTCTTATCTCTTAATTCTGAAGTTTATTTATTTTATCTCAGGCTTTTTAGAATACAAAGAGCATTGCAAAGATAGTTTCAGGGATTATCCTGCAGCATTGATCAGTTTCATGCATTAATTGTCTGTAGCTATATCAGAATGTGGTATTGACAGTAATAAAACTTATTGTTAAAAACACAGCTTTCTGTAGTAGTGTCAAGATTATTATTTTTTTTTATCTGCAGGTTTAGCACATCTTGGACGTGTAATGCATGTAATGATGAATACACTACGGAGGTTTGTGAGATTATGCAACTGTAGTAATGTGCACTTTTAACCAGGGGAGGGCAGTATCGTGCTCAAGAAAAGTACTCCTCTTAACTGGCACTAATTCAAGAGAAACCAAAAATAAGGAAATAACATGATTTACACAGCGTTCACTTAATGATGCTTTAGTGAAAATATATATATTTTTTAATTGTGACTTGACTTGACGTGAATTACTTTTTTATTTATTTATTAATTACGCATTGGGGTTTATGCGGACTGAACTGTTGTTTTCGGGCTATAAAAGAAAGTGTGATAAAATTAATTTGTCCCAAACAGCTACTTTACCAGTATTTTAGCGGGGGTCATTTTATTTTAGATAATGTACTCATTATTATTATTATTATTATTGTTATTATTATTATCGTTATTACATGTTTTTGTATATTTATGATGCTAAGTATGATTTGCAGACCAACTGAAAGTAGCCTGGCAGTTTCCTCAAAATGATCATAGTTTGTTCCATCACAAATCCAAATTGCTTCAGTATTATAACTGGGGAACTTAAAGGACAACGTGGACTTTGTCTGTATGACCTGCTATTTCAATGCAAGACAATTCCTGAAAATATCCTGAA